CTGGGGCTTACTCTCTTTCTGGTCAGGTGTTTGGCTGACCCAGGATAGGTAATGCCCTGAGCATGGTCCCTGTGTCCTGCTTAGATGGGACAATGGATAGATAGAATAATGTTATTTCTGGTTTGTGTGCTGTCAGGAGTTCCAGGAGGGGTGAGACCTAGCAGTGATGGAATGTGGGCAGAGAAGCCAGGGAAAGGTGAATGTCTGCAGCTTTGTGAGTGTGTCCAGGTTACTCTTTGCATGTCTCTTAGGATAACTTGCATTGTTGGGGAAGCTGGGACATAGATCTTCAGCTTAATGGATGGACTTCAGGGTAATGACCATTTGTTCCCCTTTGTATTATGTTTGGTTGGATTATGATTGGTTGGATTGCCATATGGACTTGTGATTTGCTATTTCTAGTATGTTCTATTATCACCAAGCTTGGTTAATAAAGACTTGTTAATTAACCTTAGACATGTCTGGTGTGATCTTGCTCACACCCTGTAGCAGTTCTGTAAAATCATGCTTGAATACTATAAATTGCAAAGTTTAAATTTTGGGTTAAGAATCTCCCTGAAAAACTTTAATCAATTTAAAACTGTTAATGCTAAGCAAGATGTAACTGCATAGGAACTTTGCTGTTAAGGGCCTGGCGGCGTGGCCTAGCAGCTAAAGTCCTCGCCTTGAACGCCCTGGGATCCCATATGGGCACCGGTTCTAATCCAGCAGCTCCACTTCCCATCCAGCTCCCTTAATGTGGCTTGAGAAAGCAGTCAAGGATGGCCCAATGCTTTGGGACCCTGCACCCGCATGGGAGACCTGAAAGAAGTTCCTGGATTCTGGCTTCGTATCAGCACAGCACTGGCCGTTGCGCTCACTTGGGGAGTGAATCATTGGATGGAAGATCCTCCTCTCTGTATATTTGACTTTGCAATAAAAATAAATAAATCTTTTTTTTTTTTAAAGAAACTTTGATGTTAAGTTTATACTCAGCTGTTACATATAATGGATGTTAACGTTCAAGTTTTCACTGTTCCTGTGCCACTCTCATTTAGGTTAAACTCAAAAACATGTTACCTCAGGAGAAATTATATTTGTTATTTTTCTATCTTCTACGAAGGACCCCTAGATGTATTCTCTGGAGAATACCTGGCTGCTCTGGCCCCCTCTCTCCACCCCTCTCTCGGCTTGAAGTAGCCAGAGAGACCACGGGCCAATCATCCCTGACAGGCAGCCAGGTCCATTCTCTGGGGGAAAAAAGGATGTGGAGGAGTTAGATGAGATAATAGGCAGTTGGGGTATGTGGTCCCTGGTGAAGTTATTTTTGTATAACATATAGCATTGCTTCTCCCCATTTTCAGCTCTTCCAAGGGCATGTTCTCCCTAGCTACATCTTTCAGGCCTAATTTTACAAAACACAGAAGTGGGATTTGTAGGACATTCAGAATCTTTGCTATTGTGGGAGATGTAGCCAGTTGAATCTCCCCTGAAGGAGCCACGAGCAATTGAGAAGCAGATGAATGAGCAGGCTACATCCTGGTTCACAGGATTAGAGAAAGAACCTGCTAGAGGAACTAGCTGTGTTTTGGGGAACAGTACCTTGCTGTTGAGATGTAAATGGCTCAAGCCCCTCCTCTGTGGAGACCTGCCTGACAACCTTCCTTTAAAATCTGGTGCTGTTAATAAACTATTCACGATCAGCCAGGAGTCCAAGCATGTTACTCCAGGCTCCGTGCACGAATGCATACAGCGGGACAGCGACAGCCTCCCATGCCATCTCCGGGCATGGGCTCATGAGGACCCCTTTCCCTTCTTCAGAGCCTCCTAGGAAACACTTGGGGGATCAGGCATCTCCTTCGTCTGCATTTGAGGCTGGAATTTGGTCCCACAGCCTCCAGCCATATGCCATTGCCCTCTGGTTCACCAGGGAACGCTTCACCCTCCTCCAGGGATCATCCTGGATTCAAGACTCTCTCTCCTGCAGGCCAGCCGTGGACCATCGGCCGCTGATGTGCCACCTGTCACAAGACACCCAATGGCTGACATCTGTTTTCCACAGAGTTCCGTCTCCCCAGGATAGGTACAATAGCAACATGCGAGGATCCCTCATTTGTGCCCGCCGCTATCATACCATGGAACAGCCTGAGCTGTGCAAGCCAGGGGGGAAGGTACCTTCACTGGCCTGCCGAAGAAACCAGCAGGGGGTGGAGTCGGGTGGTGTGGAGTGGTGCAGGGTGTTGTCCCAGTGGGTCAAGCCTCAGCCTGCCAGACAGATGGGCTGTTTGGTTGCTGCTTCAAATCCTGGCTGCTTCCCCTGCAGTCCATCTCTCTGCTGATACTCTTGGGGGAGCAGTGGAGGCTGGCCAGGGCCCTGTGCCCTGTGGGAGATCTGGAGAAAGCTTCTGGCTCCCAGGCTTGTCCTGGCCCAGCCACAGCTGGCTCTGGTGGTGATCTTCGGGGAAGTGAGCCAGCAGATGCTCTCTCTCTCCCTGTCTTGTTGCTCTGTGCTTCAAAGCAAATAGGACAGAGGGAGACTGGCAGGCAGACATGAAGAGACAGAAAGCTGCTGGCCTCCTGGGAGCTCTGTGCTGTGTGCTGTGCTGTGGCTCTAGACTGCTTTTTCGTGCAAATGCAGACCCCGAGGGCGTGTGTAAGGCTTCCATCATGGGACTCCTGTGCAACTTCTAAAAAGAGTGTCCTTGAGAGAGAATGCCTCTGGGGGCTGGGGTGCTTTCCTTGATTTGGAGCTGGAGTCAGCGTGCCCAGGGCCCTCTGGGAGCTGGACTTCCACTCCAGCTCACTTGCATTGAACTTTTGCAATAAGGTCCTGGGGAACCTTACCATCACCTGCATGCCTCGCAGAGCACCTTGAGATGCAGGCCCTGGGGGTTGTTTAGGAAGCGGAGCAGCTTCCGGATGGGCTGAGCTAAGGGCTTCGTGTAATTTTTTGTCCTGCAGTGAGTTTTGTGGGCCACGAGAGGGCGCGCTAATCTGACTTTTCTGGCACTGGTCCACTTAGTTTGTTTTCATGTGTTTTGTGATTGACTCAGGCCTCAGGCTGAACCTGCATGCCAGGTTCCTGTTTCTGACACCATGCTGTGGCCAGACTGTCATAACTGTTTGTGTGCAGGGCTCTGTCTTCAGTGTTGCTTGATTTTTACAGACCATGTGAAAATCCTGTAGGTAGAACTACATGAGCATGACAGGTGTTGTGTAAACCCCACAATATCATGGCATTGCTCGAGGCCTCTGTCCTGTGTAATTGGGGGTGGCTCAGGCCTGATGTGGGTACAAGGTGGTGTGAGGGTTTATGGGTTTTTTGTGTGTTTGTGCTGGGTACGTCTAGGGCGTTGCCACATCCATATGAAGTCAACGTGCAAGCAAGGAACTCCGGAAGTTGAGTCCCACCTTGACTGACTCGCTGGTGCAAATGTCTGAAGATCCGAGCAGGTGAGAAGGTAAGTGGGTTCTCGCATTGTGAACTGGTGTTTGTTCTTTAGGGGTTAGGATTTAGCTCTATACTTTATCAGTTAAATTTTGTTTTTGGAATTAGTGCTTGTGGTTAGAGTTGGGGTTAGTGCTTGTGGTCAGGGGGTTAGGTGGTGAAGCAGTCAGGGGTTTAAGGTTGGGGTTTGTGCTTATGGTTAGGAGGCTAAGTGGTGAAGCGGTCAGGGGTGAGGAGTTAGGCTCAGGGCCAGGGGTGAGGGGTCAGAGGTCAGGGGTCATGGGTGAGGGGGTAGGGATAGGGTTAGGATTTAGAGTTAGGGGTAGGGTTGTTAGGCTTAGGGTTAGGGGTTAGGGTACGGGTTAGGGTTAGTGTTTCGGGTATGGGTTAGGATTAGGGTACGGGTTAGGTTAGGCTATGGGTTAGGCTATGGGTAAGGGTAAGGGTTAGGGTAATTTTCCTAGGTAACTGATTTCTGAAAACTAAATTTTGTAAAAATTTCAGATAAGACAAAACAATGCTTCAAATATTTATTCTCTATTTCACATTAGAGACCATTATTTTAAAAAGAGAAAACAAAACTTTTTCTTTTGGGGAGCTTTTTTTTAGGAGGGAGATTTTAAACAAAAATGCGGTTTTTAACATCTAGAAGGTGGGGGTTAGGTCACCCCCATGTCAGATGTTGTCTAGGAACTCCAGCCCTGTTCCAACCAGCTCCCTGCTAAGGTACCAGCAAGGCAGGAGGTGATGCCTCTAGCTCCATGGGTCCTTGTGGGGACTTTGTGGAGAGACCAGCTCTAGTCCCTACCATGTGGGGACCAGCACTAGGGGACATTGTAGGGCCCTGTACTGGCTCCGGCTTAGCCCTCAGCTGGTCCGGACATTTGGGGCGATAAGCAGCGCAGGAGATTCGTTCTCTTCCTCTTTGCCTTTGAATAAATGAAATGTAAAATCCAGAAGCTGAATTGTATCTGGCACGTGTGACTGAGTGGGCTCTTGGGCTAACCAAGTCAGCAACAAGCCTGACGGCTGTCAAATCGCAAAGTTCACAGAGCCAGGGGCACCCACACGACCCTAACCCACAAGTCGGGGTCTGGGGCGGGGAGGACGCACCTCGCAGGCCGGCACAGCACGGCGGCTGCCGGCAGCAGAAGAGGAAGAGGGCGCGGTGGAAGGCGTCGTCGCGGTCCGGAAGCGGCGCGTACACCTGCAGCAGGAAGGCGAGCGGGCGGCCGCAGAGCGCGCAGGCCAAGGCCCCGGCCCGGCAGCCCCGCCGCGCCCAGCCACGCCGGCCGCCCGCCCGCCCGCCCGCCTTGCTGGGGAACTGCTCGATTCGCAGCCGCCACGCGGGCGCCTCCTCCGCAAAGCCCAGCTCCACCGGCGCGGCCTGCGGCGCGGCCTGCGGCGCAGCCATGCCAGCCCGGAACCTCGGCGCCCAGGAGCGGGCTGGCGGCCGGAAGGCGGGAGGCGGGAACACGGCTGGAGGACTGGAGCCTGGTGGGCGGAGGCCTGCAGGCCGACTTCCGCTCCGTCACGGGAGGTTTGTAACATTCTTCCGGGATCGCGTGTTGGGGAAGTGGTTGCCGGAGACACAGTGGAGACATTGGGTGTTTGAGGTCTGTTATTCACGGCAGGGAGTCCCGTTGCCACGGGTCTTAGATCGCGCGGAAGCGGGAGCCGGTCTGCCATGCAGCGGGGCCTCCTCAGGCAGCTAGCCCAGCTCCGCCGCTGCTCAGGGAGGAAAGCCAGAGGTGGCTGGCCTGACTGGGATCCTTCCCACCCGGACCCCGCCCCGGGGAGCGGCCTTGCTGTTGTAGTCACCCAGGAGGCCGTGTCCCTGTTGGTGTCCCTGGGGCTTCCTGTTGTGGCCCCCGAAGGCAGCGTAAGGTGGTCCTAGAGCCTTTGCCTGCACCAGGACTGGAGACCCCTTGAGCTTTGGCCTGGCCCAGCCCCAACAGTTGTAACCAGCTGCTGCAGTATTTTTGCTCTTGCTCAGCCATTCAGATCCATATGTCTTTTAAAACTAAATACTTCCATTCTTCCTCACACTGAATTGACGGTGGGTGAGGCACTGTGGTTATAGTCGACTAGACCACTGCCTGCAGCCTTGGCATCCATGTAGGTGCTGGTTTGTTCCCCAGGCTCTGGTTTTGATCCGGCTCCCTGCTCAAGTGCCTGGGGAAGCAGTACGGGATGACTCAAGCCTTGGTCTCCTAAACCCATGTGGGAGAACCACGTGCAGAAAGCAACTGGCCATTTGGCTCCTGGCTTCAGATTGCCTCAGCTTGCTTCAGTTTGGCCATTCAGGGGGTGAGCCAGCAGGTAGAAGATCTCTGTCTAGTTCTTTCTATAACTCTGCCTTTCAAATAAAATAGAATAGATCTGAAAAAGAAATGAATTGTGCTGTTGAGAGCACAATCATTGTTGAAAACGTTCAGTTTTTGGTATGGTAGATCGATGTGACTTACATACAATATAATAGCACCCACAGCTGGTCTGTGTCCTGGCCGTAACATGGATGTGATGTCCATAGAGTGAATAACACCCACAGATGGTCTGTATAATGGGTCTAACAAGCTGAGTCTCTGTGGGACGGCCACAGTGTCCTGCCCTACGATGTGACCTCCCCTCCTCCATGCTCTGGGATGCTCACTTGCACCCCATGCATCAGCACTGTGGTCCCCCTCCCCCGCCAAGATGACCCAGCAGTCTGGACTGATGGTGTTTGTGTCCAGCAGGTGGCACCATCAGATGCACAGCCTGGTGAGGCAGCGGCACCCTGCTCTATCCCTAACCCTGCCCTATCCCTCCCACCCCACCCTGCACTCTTTGCTCTTGCTGACTGTAGTCCCTGTTACAGCTCCTAGTGGCTCCCTGAAGAACCAGGACAGGGGGCAGGGTACCAGAGGCAATGAGTGGTACCACCACCCCATCCCTGGGCCCTGCTCCTGCCCTGGGCTCATCTGGGTAGCTATGGACTGAGATGATCTTAGCTTCTGGGAGTGTACTGATGTGGCCCATACCTCTCTCCCCAGCTGGGCTGGCACCTGGTGCACCTATAGCAGACTTGTGGATCACTGCCTGGCCCTTCCAGGATGTCACCATCTCCACCAAGCACAACTGAGTCAATGGCTGCAACCTGGCTTTCATGTGGCACTTTCTACAACAGGAGCTCTGTGCCATGCAGCTGAAGATCAGCACATGGAGGGATTTGATACCAACCTGGCACCACCACTACCAGGGAACCCAGGGGCCTGGGCTGAGGCTTTCTGGGCCTGAACTAGGAGCATGGAAGGGGGTTCATGGCCAAGGGTTGCTGGGCTGAACTGGGAGCACAGGAAGGGGTTTGTGGCTGAAGCTTGCAGGGACTTGACTCAGGGTATGAGAAGGATCCGTGTCAATAGCCCACCACTGTGGGGAGGATGAGCCTGTAAAGCCCAAGAGGCAGGCAGTCATCAGCCATGTGTGAGGGTTAATCCAAGGCCAGCTGCCTGTCTCGGGAGGCTCGCAGGCTGTGTGACTTGAACCTCATGGATTGCTATCTCACCTCTCGGTGCCTCTGCTCACTGGGCCTTTGGTGGGATCCTGTGCTGTCTTTAACGGTGACCACATGACTGACTGGCCTTTCGTTCTGGTTCAGGTCATCATGAAGGTGAAGAGTTTTACCATTTCCTCAAGGTCATCACTGAAAGGAGGCTCCTTGTTCTGGGGCAGCGGGCAGAAGGAGCACCAGGCTGGGCTACCGGAAGGCTGCGTTTGACATCAGCCACTTTGCAGAGGTGCCGGTCTGTGTCATTGCACACCCTGAGTTCCAGAGAGTGGACACTGATGCATTCTCACCATAGCCTCAAGAGCTGCTGCTACAGCTGGAGAAAGCCATGGCTGCCACTGTAGACCTCAGTACCCTTGGAGGATGGCTGCCAGGGTGAACCTTCCTGCCCGAGACTCTCCACCTGCCCCCATGGCCTGGTAAGTGCTCCTATGAAACAAGAAGAGCTTCTTCCTAGATACCTGACATGGTTCTGCCAGCCCAGGGCTGTTTTCTGAGTGTCCCAGGCGTGGGTCATCAGGGAGCATAGGGCTCTACTTGCTGTGAGGGTGCCTGGGGTTGCGAGTGTTGGACTTAGCTTACAATTAACCTTCCTGTTAATACACCCAGGAAGAATGCCCCAAGTGCCATCTGGGAGTCCTCTGGCTCCTGGCTTCAGCCTGGTCCCAAGCCAGGAACCAGGAGCCAGAAGCCTCTTCTGGGTCTCCTGCACAGATGCAGGGTTCTAAGGCCACATGCAGGGAGCTGGATGGTAAGTGGGGCCTCCAGGATACAAACTGAGCCGGTGCCCATATGGGATTCCAGCACATGCAAGGTGAGAACTTTAAGCACTAGGCTGTCACACCAGGTGTAACCAACCATTTGGTATTTTCTTTTCTTCTTCTTCTTCTTCTTTTTTTTTTTTACAGGAAAGTGGGTAAGACTATTATTTTTTCCAAATTGTTTCCTTCATGTTTAAAGGGGGGTATTAAGGGAGAAGGCCCACCCAATTTCCCACCCTCCCCACATTTGGTATTTTCAAAAGCAAAGATTTCATACCTGCTACAGAAACAATTAATGGTAATAACAAATCACTGTGCCATGGGCCACGTTATGTGTGCATACGTGTTTGTTGTTAGCTTTGCCAACTACCCAAGAAAGAAGAACCAGCCAAGTACAAACAGACCTTTATTATGAGAAATCTGTTGCTGGGCCTTACCCCTTGCGGCAGAGGAACAAACGGGAGAAGAGGACCGCAAGTGGGAAAGACAAGCTGGGTAGTGGAGACAAGGTTTCATACCCCTTCTGACGTGCGTGCTGGCATTGGCCCTCCTTGGGCCCTGGTAGGGCAAGGAATTGTCCATCACTGGCCCATATGTGGCCTTGGCTGCCTTCGGGATGTGCCAGATCTCTGGCTGAGGTCACTGTGGTGTCCACCCACTTCCTGTAACTGCAGTAACCATCATGTGTGTCTTTCCAATTTGAAAGAGAGAGGGAGCATCAAAGAGAGAATGGGAAGGGGATTTGGGGAGGAGGGGAAAGGAAAACCCAAAGCCTATGGAACTAAAATAAACATGTAAATAAATAGATAAAAACATAAATAAGAATGGGATCTTTCAATTTCTGATTCACTTCTCAGATGGCTTCAATAAGCAGAGCTGGGCCAGGTGGAAGGCAGGAACCAGGAACTCCATCCTGGTTTCCCACATGGGAGAAGGCCCAAGGATCTGGATCAGTCCTCATTGCCTCCTCACATATGTTAGCAGGGAGCTGGATTGGAAATGGAACAGCCAGGACTAGAACTGACACTGTGGTAAAATAGGCAGCTAGTTCAGGGTCACGAGCTTGGGAGTCATTCCCCTACCACCTAGGTGTTCCCTCTCGCCCACCTGTGACTCTCACCTGTCACCTGAGAGGGGTGGTATTGCATTGTTGTGTAACCACTCCCCTCACAAGCGCTATAAAGGCCCACGATAGGAAGGTGCTCACCATCTTGGTCTTGTGCTTCTGTTGGTCTGGCACTCTGACTCTTGGCCTCCCCAGTACCTGTGAGGACAGGTATGGCCCATGCATGTCTGCATTCCTCATCCTCTGTTTACTGTTTGGGTGGGACAATGAAAATAGCAGTGAAGTACATCCAGGTTATTCGTTGCATGTCTCTTAGGATAACTTACATTGTTGGGGAAGCTGGGACATGGGTCTTCAGCGTGATGAATGGACTTGAGGGTAATGACCATTTGTTCCTCTTGGGGTTACGATTGATTGGATTGCCATGTGGACTTGAGACTTGCTATTTCTAGTGGGCCCTGTTATCACCAACTTGGTTAATAAAGACTCCTTAATAAACCTTAGACATATCTGGCGTGATCTCGCTCACACCCAGCAACAGCACACTGATTTGAAATGCTGTTGGCAAAGATGGTGATTTAAATGGTTATGCCAAGCCCGTCTCCATACTGTCTTTTCTGTGATGCTACTTTATTATTTATTTATTTATTTATTTATTTATTTGCAATTATGGCAGAATCCTCTTTGGTGTTTCCTTTATTTTACAAACCAAGACTTAGAAATATTTCTAGAAAACAACTGTTTTTCCCTATGTGATATACATGGTAAATAAAAGAGATTTCACACCAGCTAATATATGAACCTTTGATCATTCACAGAGAAACTTGAGGGAAAAACTGTTTCTGGCAGAGCATCACTTTATGCTATTTCTTCTGTTTGGTACTCAGGGGACAAAGGTCAATGTTGACGATAATAAACAAAAGTAGATGACCACTTTTGTGTCCCCACAAAATGTCCCCGTTGAAGCCCTCATAGCATTTTCCTTCACTGCCGTGTGAAGGCACAGAAGGTGGCGATCTGCAAGCCAGGAAAAGGCTAGATCAGCAATATTCCCTAATGTTAGACTGTGAAAGTAAAAGAGGCCTCATTCCTTTATGAATTTACCCAGCCCGAAGTATTTCCCAGAGAAATAGAGAGTGAGTTGAAATATATGGATATAAAATTGTATTCCAGTTTGGGTCAATTGTAAAACTGAATTAAAGACAAAGTCCTTGGGGGTTTCCCAGATCACATGTGATTTGATAATTACCCATTTTTAAAAATTAAAAGGGACTTAAATGTAAGAAGTCAATATGGCAGACTGTCAGTTATGGCATGAGCCTTGGAACCTTGCATCATAACAGCAAGTTGCCTTGGCTACGGTGGAGTTCCTGGTGCTGCCTGATTTGGCTTCAAATCTCACCAGGTGCACAGGCTGTGTCGTTTTCTGTGTCGAGGATTAACGAAAAAAAGCTGTTCTTATCAACCAGAAAGCAGCTCAAGCTTTAGAAGGTCACTCAGGTCTGCGCTACACGAGGTAATCTCTTCATGTGTGGTTTGAGATCATCCCAATAGATCAGCACCCCCAGAAGGTGTTCTGACTTGCCTCCCCTAAAACATAGGAACTAATCCATGACTTTATTGGTTTCACAAAAAGCTACTGGTGTTGTTCAGAATTAGTGCTGCCAAGACAAGACAACAGACTATGTTCTCAGAAGACATGCTGCCTGTGCTCTGGGAAAAATATGTTTCTGTGTCTCTGAAAATCCCTGCCCTATTCAAAAGAGTTTAATATTTTCTTCATTATATTTGTGTTTTCCTAGTGTAGTCACAGAGACCTCTTGGAATATGGTGGAAGTACAACCAAATTATAGAAAGAATGGTCTGGTCTTTGTACACATTTTAATGTACCCAGTATTTTATGTTCTTTAGCCCTTTTTTTGATAAATTTGAATGACAAGATGGGACTTACTTTACCGTAACTTTGCATTACATTCATTTTCATACTAACAAAACCAACCTGTAATTACTTATTTACAAGTAAATTAGTTTAAGATATTGGGAAAATACAATATGACTTTTCCTAAGTGAGTCAGACACTTTTCTTAAATGACATGTCTGACACTGTTCATTTCAATGAAATGGCAGCAAATATTTGTGGAGAACTTTACAGTTTAAGAATGCTTTTGCAGGGTACACTTTGTTTTGTGATAATCTCAGAAATACACATGAATTTTTGTTTATATTATGTATTTTATTATAAATGCCAACATTGACATTCACATGGGCATTCATAATTCTCTCAGTGATAATTCGACGTGCATTGTGTGTGTAAGCTGATTTATATGCTGCTGAAGGTTGTTTCAACCACAGTCTTTTGTGGCTCTTGGGTCTACCCTCTGGGCAACTGGTCCTGGCCTTTGTGCTTTGGGCTGTGTTCTGTGTCAGCCTTACTTTCTCAGGAACAGTAGAATGTGTTTGCAGAGGATTTGTTTTATCAGCCTGTGTCTGTGTGCACTCACATGCAGTGGGCCCCCATGCCATCAACCTTCCCTGAAATACTTTCCCAAACTGTCAAGCTGTATGCATCTTGGGCTTGCTGTAGGTTCGCCTGGGAAGTTAGGGCAACCATTGTAGCACTAGTGACTGCTTCTCTTCCTAAGTGTGTTGGACGTCAGTGGTAGAAAGAACTCCCCTCAAGTGAATACCCTACATCCCACACCCAAACCCCTGCCATCTGTGAATCAGCTAGAAAACAGAATACACTGTGAAGACATATCAGCTTTCCAACCCTAACAAAGAAAGATGATCCTAAATGGGCCCAACACTGTCACGTAAATGTCATTTGCATAAGTCAAGGGAACTGGCACAGAACACAGCCATCTTCTAGGAACAGGTATCACCCCTCAGGTAACAACCAGAGAGGAGAGAAAAAGCGCTTCAACCTTAGTTTCCTGAATTCAGTCTAGAAATTTTTTCTGGAGCAAATCTTAAGGGACATTTAAAGAAACCTATATCTTAGAAATGCTTACAAAAAATATTGCTCAACATATTTAAATCCATGTAATCCAAGGTTGTATTTGTTTAGTCTGCCTCTATTTTTATTAAAAGGTTTATTTATTTGAAAGGCAGACCTATAGAGAAGGAGCAACAGGAAGAATCTTTCTCTGGCAGTTCATTGCACAAATGATTGCAATGGCTGGCGGTGGGCTGGTCCAAGGCCAAAAGCCAGAAGTGTCTTCCAGGGCTGCTCTGTGGGAGCAGGAGTAAAAGTGCTTTTTTCTCAGGTGCATGAGCAAGGAGCTGAATAAAAGGCGGAGTATCCATGACTCAAACTGGTGCCCATGTGGGGTGCTGGCGGAGTCTTGCCCACTGCACATAATACCAGCCTTCCCAGTCTGTCTCGATCTGTCTCGGAAACACTATGTATTAATTGTGTGTTTTCTGATATTTACTCAGCTTCCTAAATAAAGAAATATGTACAATATAGGCAATAAATAAATGAATGGTTCTCTCAAAAAGTAGCATTTAGATTGTGGTCTATGACACATATTCAGCATTCAGAAAGACTGTATCACTATCGGCTCCCTTTTATTACATTTGTTCAGGACCCTCCTTAGTTTGGCTGTGCTCAGGACACGCTTATGGTCCTCTGTGCTGTGTACTCTTGGGGAATAGATGTGAACGTCCTGTGTTTGCCCCTGGAGCAGGTAGAACCTCCTTAGGCTGGCTGTGCTCAGGACACACTTTGAAGAGTCCAATCTTATGGTCCTCTGTGCTGTGCACCGATGGGGAATGGATGTGAACGTCCTGTGTTTGACCCTGTAGCAGATAGAACAAGAAGTCTTCACGGGAGCATAGCTTCTCCTGTAATATTTCAGAAACAAACTAACACTGATTATTGCTTGACTTTCTGAAAATAAGAACAACTTTAATATTAAGCGTGTAATGTCACCCAACTACCTGCAGATGATCAACTACATAGTGGACAGACTGGAGGAAAGGATTAACACCTCTGACAAGACGTTGCTCTTCTTGGGCGGGCCTGCAATGAAATGTATGGCCACCTTCCAGTAAGTACTAATCCAGTCTGTACGTGGATAAGCTGTGGAAGGGCATAGTCACTTGCAGTGTCTAGGACAGAGAGAAGGTTTCTCCCAGACTACTTTGAAAGGAAAACATTGGCCCTAGTCATGTAACAAGGCGATGACTGACATTTTGACTCTAACAAGAACTCATTGAACATGTCTTAATTCTGAATCTGTATGAAAAAATAAACATTGTGGCTCTTATTCACAAATGGTATTCTTGTCTCTGGGCCAACATATTCATCCACGTGTAAGTAATCTTTAGGGTAATTTAGTTAGAATCCTGCTACTTGTTACATTTGAATAGAACAGGAAGCTATAAAAGTCCTCTGTAAATTAACACCTTTTTCAACTTGTGGAGAGTGAGGCTTCCAGCAGCTAAATGACTTTCCCAGGATCTCATAGCTTGCATCCCAAGGTCATGATTCAGTGCTGACTTTCTACACCAGCTTCTCTTTAATGTACGACGCACTTCCCATCACTGTGATATTGCTGCACAGATGGAATCCTTCCAGAGACCACAAATGAGGAAGGCAGTACTTGAGCCACTGCCTTCTGGTGTGTTTATACGTGCGCTGATAGTTGTAATGTAGTGTGGGCATTTCATGCAGTTCATTTTTTCTCCTGTTCTCTGGTTGTAGTTACTCAGGAATAAGAAGATGTGGTTATTCAGGAATAATAAAACTTTCACCAATGGTGTTTTGCCATTATATACATTTTTCATTTTTATGTTGTGATTAAAATGTAAATTTCTGAAAACGCTTTCCAACAATTGCCCTTGTAAGAATAAATATGTTATGAGACCATTCGCTCCTAGCTGCTGACCAGCCTCCTGCTGGCTCCCACCTGAGTGCTGAGGACTCCTCTGTGCTGGTCATGCTCTGCTCTTCATCTGAAGACTGGTTATGAGTGTGCTCAGGGGACAGATGTTTGCTTTTCTGTTCTTTTATGTGCATTTCTCTGGTATGCATACTGTATTTCAGTAACAAGCTCTAAAATGGCCTTGAAGAGTGAAGTCATTCTAAAATAAAGTCCCCTAATCTCCATGCATGTTTTGTTTATCATTAAGGAAGCTCTAGATGACATTTTCATCTTTTTCTCCTTTCTAGACTATCAGCTGGAAGTCACAGTACTCTCCAGTTTTCGTATATGGAAGTCACTCTACTGAGTGCCAAGGAAACTGCTCCGCTCATAACCTGAGAGGGGCCAGGGCCTGCAACCCATGTAGGAGTATTTTATAGAGTGTGTCTGCTGCTCAAACTGCTCATCATGTGGGCCATGTTTCTAGCCCGTGTCTTCATTTCTTGCAATGTTTCCAACTCATACTTTAATCTTGATGAGTCCATCTATATGATAAGATTTGAAAATATCAGCTGCATAGGTTAATATGAAATGAGTTATTAATTACATGATCTGCTTCGTGCTGTTGAATTTGATTAGGAACATCGACATATCCCAAGAGGAGGATCATGCCAGAAACATTCTCCTTCATGTCTTTGCTGTAGACATCAACAACCACGCATCAGTAAGTGAACTTCCAGTTCTACCTGGAGTTGTTGGTTGGGTTAATCATATTTCCAAGCTGGCCAGTAAAGCTTTCTTTTAGATATGTTCAGGCAAAGCAACATTGTCTGCTATTTCCACTTTCCCTAACTAATGCATGGTTTATTTTTAAACATCTTTTTACTTTCAAAGAAGTAAATCTCTGTGAAGTTTTTTACTTGTCCAAAATGAAAAGAAAGAGGATGTTGAAAAAATACATATATCCTTACAATATTCTTCCTTTTTTTGAAGATTGATTTATTTTTATTGGAAAGGCAGATATACAGAGAGGAAGATCTTGTGTTGATGGTTCACTCCCCAAGCGGCCGCAACGGCTGGAGCTGAGCCAATCCGAAGGAAGAAGCCAGGAGCTTTTCCGGGTCTCCCACTCGGGTGCAGGGTCCCAAACCTTTGGGCCATCCTCAACTGCTTTCCCAGGCCACAAGCAGGGAGCTGGATGGGAAGCGGGGCTGCCGGGATTAGAACCAGCGCCCAAATGGGATCCCGGCAGATGCAAGGTGAGGACTTTAGCCACTATGCTATTGTGGCAGGCCCCACAATAATTTTCTATCTCCTGTTTTCTGTATGCCATGCAAACCTGCTGATTTAAAAACCAAAGAAAGTATAAAATGATTATGAACATTTTTAAAAGTTTCTTTTTAAATTTTGTAAAACAATATTGGTAGAGTTTTAAAAGTCTATGTAAGGACTTTCAGACATCCATCAAAAAGGTGAGCATTTTCAATGAACCCTAAAGCCTACTGTTTGCACCTTCCAAAATATTTTATGTTAATGAACTCTTTTTATTCCTAATTTTTGAGATGCAAGTCCTATAAATGTGAAAGTCTGCTTATGTTTCTTCATATTTCTTTAAGCTTTTATTTTCTCAAACCATGCAGACCTCTTTACAGATTACTCTGATGTTATGAAACTGACAGGCACAGAACAGCTTCTTAGACACTTATTCTCTATCTTTTTTGAAAACACTGCTGTGGTTCTGGCATGGTAGCTAAAGTTTTCTCCTTGCAAGCAACAGGATCCCATAAGGGTGCCAGTTAATGTTCCATCTGCTCCACTTCCCATCCAGCACCCTGTTTGTGGACTGGGAAAGCAGTAGAGAATGGGCCAAAGCCGTGGGACCCTGCACCCACATAGGAGACCTGGAAGAAGTTCCTGGCTCTTCTGCTGATTCAGATCAGCTCAGCTCCAGCCGTTGTGGCCACTTAGGGAGTGATTCAGCAGACGGATCTTCCTTCCTCTCTGTCTCTCCTCCTCTCTGTATATCTGACTTTCCAATAAAAATAAATAAATCTTTAAAAAAAGAAAAGTCGCTGCTTGCAGCTCAGCTAGGTCAGCACATACCTTCTCAAGCCTCTTCATCCCTTTCAGGTGATTTTGATGAATTTTCTCCCTATTTTTGTGGAGTTGTCTTTCTGTGGATGTGAAGGGCAGAGGGAACTACTTGCTTCTTCACTGGCAGCTATGGAAATGCAAGTTAAATTTTGAAGTGTTTTGTCCTGATTTCTACACTCATTGTTCCATACATTGCCACGCTGAAAATCTGAGTGTGATGCCTGACTCGGAAAAGGTTTTCTCTATGTTGTCGTTTAACAATGAGAGTGCCTGTGATGGCCAGTTATTACGATTTGACTTAAAGTGAGTGTACGTTCTGTAACTAAAGAAGCCCATATTGCAGAAATGTAGCTCAGCGAGGCAGGGAATGACGCAGCTCCGTCTAAGTCATCCCTCATGTTGGTGAGGACCAACCCTGTAGCACTGCATGCGCAGCCTTGTCAGTCATTCTCCTTCTTGCTAGAACTTATCCATGAGCACCACAACTGCTTTATTTTAAAAGACACACACTTGACTGAAGACATTTTCAGCTTTATATGACATAAAGGAATGAAAGTGAATTAAGGATCAGTGTCTTCTATGTGGTTTATTGTTAGTCAAAAAGAAACTTTACCTTTAGAATTAATAATAACTTGACATTGAATAGATCATATGATTTACAATTCAATTAAAACAACTTTGATCTTTTTTTACAGTTTCAAGTTGTGGTAGTAATCAGTCTACATGCAGTAAATGATCTTATCAAAGTATCACTATCAATACTCGGAATATGTGTAAGTTACCTGCCAGTCATCTTGGGTTTAAAAATTATTCTTAAGATTAATGTTTTCACCTAGTTATGAATACATGAAATGAATATGATTTTACTGTATTCTTCCCTATATAGGACAACTATTGTAGCTATCATCAAAAGTTGTCCCCCATATCAGAAAGATATTTAGAAACTTAAAGCAGCAGAGAATATTCATCTGTATGTGGGCATCACTCTTACATGCGCATTTTAAATGTCACATGAGTGAAATTCATAGCATAAGGAACTGGAAACATAATGTTGGAGTGCAGTTCTAGAGCAATAACATCCTTGACAAGTGTAAGACCCTGAAAATATGAAAGGCATCTAACAAATTCACATAGCAAGTAGCTCCTGAATTCATTGTTAAGTAGCTTGTATCCTGCGATCACATGCCACCCTCTCCTGATTCCTTCATGCAAAGTCACACGAGCAAAGTCATTTTGACAATGCCTCTGAACATACACTGTATTAACTCAAACAAGCATCTTCCATTTGATGACTCAAGTGTCTTCCTAAGAAATAGCAGTTTTCAAAAAAAAAAAAAAAGCTCACATTAAGCTTTTGAGAAGTAAGCAGGCATTTTAGTTACAGTGGAAAGCAATGCACAAAACTTTGAACATAGAGGTTAGCATAGGACTCTTCTCGGGATAGGAAAGTGTATCCCTCAGTCTTCTCCCTTTGTGTTAAACAGTGAAATAAATGAGAAATAATGTTACAAAAACTTTTTCTCAGTGGATACATGTAGTTGAAGCCAGAAGTCCCCACTTCCAGATTTATTGAGGGTGTGTGCCTCTGTATGTATGAATGCTACTTGATTCAGACTTTTCTAAAGTCTAAAAGTATAAAATGTAATCATACAAAGTATAAATGCTTATTGTTTCTCCTTAAATAGTGTGATTTAGAGCAAATTATCACCAGACCCCATCAGCTTGGACTAAGTTACTGATTACCTGTAAAATCAGCTTCATACAAGAGGAAAATATTCTGCTGATTTTCAACATTATTCAGCTTTTATTTGCAGTCAGAATAGACCCCTAAGTCATTTCTGCAAGTGAAATCAGTGTAAAATGGCAGGCCCACTTCCATAGAGGTGACGGTTGGGATGACTGTGAGGCAAAAGGGATTACATTGAATACTCCTACACTTTGTTTGTAATTTCTCCAATTCATTGTTTGTTACACAAAGTAATGTGGGTCTTAATCTCTTTGGATTTCCTGCAGACGACCCAAGGAGGTGCATGTGTGACCACTCTCTGTGATCAGGGAGTTGGTGCTGTTGCCGATGTACAAGAGAATAAAGGATTGCCTGCAGTTCAGAGGTGATGATGTGATAATTACTCTAAGCATGTCTGAAATGCACAACCAACCATTGTCTTAAAGAGCTATTATCTGCTCGGATAGAGCTTTATCTGGTAAAGAATGACCAATGTGAAATGGTTTTTTATGTGGTCGTAAAGGTGGAGGCCAGTTTCAGTATAGGTGCAAGATTGTCACTGTCATTTACCTATTTTCTCCTAGAATTGCAAATACATAGTCCTTCACCATTGACCACACATTCAAAATAGTCAATTGGTTATTGAGGAAACCTACTGGATAAAGAGATGCTACTAAATAAAATTACCCAATGCTCCATATTAACATTGCAAATGAGAAAGTTAAACACAAAAGGTCCATCTATGGTTAGGTAATTGAATTCGATGACTTTTTGCATTCATGGTTGTTCAAAATAATTGTATTAGATAAATAAGTGCTTGCAATGAAGGTTGCCAAAATTAAAATATAGTGTTGGAGTTATAACAAAACTGAGAGGTTGTGTGTTTAAGACACATTGCCCTATTTCCATTAGGTTGTAATAATGGTATTTAAATGTCTTGTTGTCTTTATCTGTATATACAGCTTCCTTATCAAATGACTTGCTTTAAGACTGAAATTTCTGTCTGTAGGCTCTCAAAACACCTTCCAAAAATCAGCTATGCTGTTTTGTGGTACCTGTTGAGGTCCCTACCCGTGATGTTTCAACACTTCTCATTTAATCCAAAGACAACTTTGAAGTCACTGTTGTGTGTTATTCCAAGCATGCTTTCCCGTCAGCAACCCACTTTCAAGATACCAACACTGGAAGAGAATCAGAAGGTAGTGGGACGCTCTATTTTGTAACCTGAGGAGCAGAATACTCTTTGGGACGTGAGATTCAGGGATATAAATTCTAATGGGCAAATTTATAGAGTAAAAATTCAATATGTAATATATAATAATACATATATATAACCATCTATGGGTGGTCTAGGCCATTTATTCAACTATGACAGTGATGGGAATGTAGATTTGTGAGCAGAGTAGCAGTGCAGTGTTTCTCCTTTCTCGTCCAGGAGACAATTCACTGATCTGACTAAACCACACAGACAAGTAGAGAATGTCACAAGCAGGAACCTGCAAGCCGAGGGGCAATTCTGGCTCTCAGCCCTGAGCTGAGGGAAATGGGAACATGGTTTCCACACTAAGATTTTCTCTGCTGAACTGTTGGTAATTGAGTCTCCTGAGGTTGTAATTGACCCTGCCTGGCTGGGATAAGCACATGCAGCTCCGCACACAGTGTGTTCTCCGCCAGCGGTGGCTCATTCCGAGAAACGCTTACCTGCCCTTTCATCTCTGCTGCTGCAATATGAAAATCAGCCCCCCCCCCCAATACAGACAGAGCTCTTTCCCAAAGCCCGCCCTCCCCATTGAGATGTAAAGCTTGGAGTAAGTACAAATGTGTTGTGAGAGACTGCAGCTAAACCAATAAACTTTTTGAGCTTACTGGTTTCTTGCCAAATTTCCCACCCAGAGTCTAAGATGCTTCACAAGGTCTTATCTAGTGGATTATTTGCAAAACTTAGAGAGCAAGGTAGATATTTACTCCAAACTTCCTGTATGTTAACTGAAAATTAACTGAAGATTATCCTAGCTTTACTGATGGAGTTAGTGATACAAAAATGGTATTAATAGAACTGGGTCACAAAGCGTATGAGTCTTCTGTTCAGAAGTATTTTGGTATCAGTTACAAAATATTCTCTCAAGTATAATTATTTCTCTTGCAAGTAATATTTTTCAGTCAAGTAGGAAGTTTTTCATAATTCTGATTTTTGTGTTCTTTATAATTTGAATATTTATTGATGACATAGTATAGAACTATACCAAATGAAAAAAAAAAAGGCAACTCTGTTTTCCTGTGTGTCACAGATTTCTGTTATACATTGTCTGATGAAAAATTGCCTGTGGGTACGTAGAGATGACACCACTGTATTCCGGACGGAGCACCCCCAGGTGTTTCCCAGCAGCTTTGGAGCGAGCCTCAATTTCAACATCTCTGAGGAGAGTGCCATACATCTTGACAACAGCTTGGGTGAGAGTTCCTTGGACTGGGATCCCAGGGAGAACATGCCAGGGCCTCAGTGAAACGGTTCTGGTTTTAGTGAGGAACCAATGACAAAGTTTCCAAGAGGTCATAGGAGCTGCTTATCCAGTGCCCTGGGGCACAGAGGACAAGGCTGCAGGGCCCATGTCTCTTTCTGTTACAAAACCACCAAGAGGAGCTTCTCATTATCTTGGGACCAAAGAAAATGTATGACAGATTTTTTGATTTAACATAATGATTGATGAAAACTGTAACTCCATCTAAGACATCATATGATAATACTTCAAGTAAAAACATGGTTTTAGTAAATTTAATTTGACCTTCTATGTCTAAGGGTACCATGCAGATTTCTATGGAGACATAGAATTAAAACATCATTTGGTTTCAGTGCTAACAAATTTAAATACAGCCTTTCTTTATTATAGGCATTTTCTATATAGTGTGGAAAACTGCTTTTATGTCACTGTAAAGGCATACTTTTCACTTCATTCTTCATGAGCTTATGAATTGCTATTAGATGTACTAAATGTGCTCCACTGTAATACATTTGAAAGGCTCACAACGTTGCCTGTCTTGTGTATCTGCCACTTCATACTCTGCAGCATCTGAGGTAGCAGTTGTCCAGTGCCCACAGGGGCAGTTAGGGAAGGATGACCTCATGGGAAAATGAGGCACTTAGTTTGAAGTCTTATAAATTCTGCAGCACACCCAAGCCTGTACCACCATTTACCAGTCGTGTTACTTTTGGCAAGTATTCTATGTCACTGTCAGTTGTATACCACATACTTGGAAAACTGGAATGTATGCTGTTTTGGGATGATGTAGAGCAATATTTGTAAAAACAGATTTATTTAACAAAAGCATACATAGGGCTGAAAGAAGGTCTGGTGAGCCTAGAAACAAATTATTATCCAAAGGCAAGAAATTAGGTCCTAGGAGCCAACCGTCCATTTTTAGGAGTGGCTACTTCAGGACATGGATGATGAGTCCCTTCCTGGTTTTTTTTTTTATTCTCACATTTTTATGATGTTAAGTTCATTGCTTTCATTGCATTGATGTTAGCTTCATTGCTTTTTTTTTAAAGGTCTCCATTCATTTAGAAGATGAGTCTGAGATCTGAGAGTATTTGCACTAAAACAACCACAAACACCTCTTTTTTTCTTTTTTAAATTTAATTTTTGATGAGGTGTACATAGTTGAGAAAGATGCATGCCCATGTGAACCACTGATTAGGGTAGCATAGGGGAAAGTGGATTAGACCATGGTTTCCAATTTTCTTTTCCTTTTTCTATATCTGGGGCAAGTGGCGAGAGAAGGGGCAAAACTGCACCGAGCCTCCTAACTGCATCAGTACCTGGGGATGGGGGACTGTTGGGGTTCAGTGAATTTGAGTGAGACTCCAAGACGGGTGAAATGATTTTAATTTCTAGTCTGGGGGCAACCTCTTGCCATATGCAAGAAGTGCCTCGGCTGAAATACATGTGGGATTTTTATAGTAAGTATCAGAGAATCAAAAGCTACATGACAGCAAGTACATGATAAGGAGCTTACAATGACACAAAACAGAAAGCATGTATAGGTTTGGGGTTTCCTGATCATATCACTTCAATGTAGACAGTAATAAAACAGCATGCCTCGAAAGTAGCTGTCTTTCCGGTAAATCTAAAAACTCCAAGATTCTCCTTATCTCCTGTCTGCTTCCTGGTGTCTCAGGAAACAGGAGCTTTTTTTTTTTCATAACAGGATGCAGGTGTCTCTTTGGAGATTCCAGACTTCTAGGAGTAGTCACCTTTACAATTAACCCTTTCAGGGGATGGCTACTTGATGTCACCCCAGGGTCCCCGATGTGGAACGCGGCTGCAAGGGTACTGCTCAAGTGGTTTTGATAGTTCTGAAAAGCTGTTGATTTTGTTGATACAAGGATGAGGAAATCCTTCCAAGGTTCATTTGCTGACAATCCAGTTTAGAGTCTCCATTCACCTAGATACTTGCTATCAATGCTTAGCTGGGACAGTTGTCCCTTTTTCTGCCTTTCATCCTCTGCTATGGTATTAGATGTCCTCTGCAGGCCCCCGTGGTTTGCCATATCCCCTATGTGCATGTAGGCGTGCTGTCCACTGCACAGGCTTCAGCAGTTTTGGAGACTCAGTTCTGATTCATTCATTCCATGGTCAGACCACAAATCCTACGATTCTCCCCATGGTTGGAGTTTTGAGTTCAGCGGCTCCTTTTGGGGTGTCTCCAAAGAAACCTCACCAGAGGTGAGCCCAGACCTGACTGCTGTGTGTGCCAGACAGTGTGGGATCCATCTCAGTTTGTCACCCACATTGCTGCGTCAGTTATGCCTCAAGCCGCATCTCTTACTCAAACCAATGGATGCTGCAGCCCAACCCATCCTGCCCATCACACACTCAGCCCTCAAGAACATCAGTGGGAATTGCAACCCAGTCATAGTGACTGCCAGTAACCCCCACTAGGCCCGCCCCGCCCTAGTTCCTGCACATCCTGCTGTGTGCAGCAGACTGGTCCGATCTGTCCTGCATCCCATTTGGCTTTTCTACACACCAATAGGTGCTTCAACCTAGCTTAGCCCAACTGACTCTCCCTGTCTAGCCCACACTCATGCTGCTGCGTGCCATTGCCTGTCCAGTCGGGTCCATCCCTAGCCCTGGTTCAAATGCTCCCTGGTGGGAGCTGCAGTCCATCAGAGTGGTGCCCACAATTTTGCCTACTAGGCCCACTCCCAGCCCTGGATCTTGCACTTACCAGGTGGCTCTACAGTCTAGCTTGACAGGAGTTGCTGTCATTCCTAGCACTTCCCAGCTGATGCTGCAGCAGAGCCCAACCAGCCCACACTTATCCTGGCCCATGCCTGCACCCCTGGATGTGGTCATTTAGCCCAGCCTGGCTCTCCCTCTAACCCAGCTCACATGCAAGCCAAGGAGTGTTGTAGCCCTGCCCGGCCTGGTCGGCCTCAGGTCCCAGTTCTCATACTCACCAGAGGGAGCAGTGGCCCAGCGGGGAAGTGCACCCTAACCCCAGGTTATTGTTGAATAGATATCTTGCCCATGAACCGAACTACAGCTAACACCAGGTTACTCACACATCAGCAAATGAATCACCTGCTGATGCCATACAGCAAGGTATGCATAACTCTGAAAAATGTACCTGCAGTAAGAATTGAAGCTAAATCCCTCAAGCTCTAGGTTTAGTTCCAGTTCCTGAACACAGGGAAGAACACACAGCACACCCGAGTGCTGTGAACAGCCTTGCAGCCCTTTCTAACCATTTAAAGACACATGAAGTAATCTGGACATGGGGAAATGTGGTGCTAAGAACAGAGCTCTGCATCTAACCAATCTCACTTCTTTATCAGAACCTCACATGAAACTGACTCAAAAGCAGCAGCCGGCTAAAACATGGCTATTTCAGCATGTATTAGGAAAAAGCCACAATGAGATGGCATCAGCCGTTGCCCTGCGCACATCCCAGCAAAAACCACTTTTTGGATCTCTTTTGCAAGACGTGTGTGAGAATGATGAGCTGCCACAAGCAATTCTGGTAAGCCTCACTTTGACCGTCTACGGCTCAACATTGCTGAGAGTACTTGATGGGGTGAGTGTTCCTCATCCATGCATAAGCTCATTTAGAAATATTGAGAGCTCTCCCCGCTCTGGTGACATCTTTTTTTCTGACTCCATGTTGAATAGTAGCCTGACTTAGATATGGATGATGTGTTATGTAATATTATTTTATTTTTTACCCACAGGAGATGCTCTTCATGATTGATCAAAAGGGTCCTGCCACAAAGACCATCTTCAGTCAGTGTGCCAACTGGGAAGACTGTCAAGCCCTAAAGGAGAAGTTAAACTCTAGAGAGCAGGTCAACTGGGAAACCACATGCCCTATTTTGGTAGCAACCGTCTTGAAGGTAGGAAAATTATTGGCACCACATGCTTGTGTATCACTTTCACCAAAATTGCTCCAGGCCATTAATAGACCTATAGAATTAAGATGCTTTAAAACATGACACAAAGTGCCTATTGAGTGCAAGCGCTCTTAAGGCTATTCAGCACCGTAAATTTGAAAATGGTGTTTAGATTATAGAGGCTCTGGTCTCCTTCTTTCACCTCAGTGCTCTGTATGAAAAAGTATTATTTATAAAATAATGTCAACACATACCCTTCTCCATAAAGATATATGACCTCAAACAGTGGCTTCCATTTATGACTTTCATTTTGTTTTAAAGATTTATTTATTTTCATTGCAAGTGACCATAATGGCCAGAGCTGAGTTGATCTGAAGCCAGGAGCCAGGAGCTTCTTCCATGTCTCCCACTTGGGTGCAGGGTCCCAAGGCTTTGGGCCATCCTCTACTGCTTTCTCAGGCCAAAGCAGGGAGCTGGATGAGAAGTGGAATAGCCAGGAAGTGAACTGGCATCCATATGGGATCCTGGCACACACAAGGCAAGGATTTAGCTACTAGGCCATCAGGCTGGACCCGCTCAAAACACTTCACTCTAGGCCTGGATAATAAAATGTCAATCAATTAGGAAATTGTGCTAGATTAGAAACGCTGTTTCGTCAGTACCACGTTGACTTTTTTCCCAACGAATCATCTATTTGCCCAGTGAGTACAGAATTAACGTTTTTTTTGCTTGGGCTGTTTCTGATTCATTCATGCGTTCCACCAATATCTCAAAATCATGGGATTCAGAAAAAAAGTAGAAAGAACAAGATGTTACCTCATGTGAATTTGGTCCATTATCCAAAGGGAACCACAGGAGGAGCCAGAGGTTTAGGACTTGCCCAGACATGCAGACTATTGCATGATATACACGGTGAATGTGTCCCTGCTGTGGTGGTTATGCCATACCAACAACGTACCGAGTATCATTTACTAGTTGCAACAAAGATTGCAAAGAAAACCTCATAGGCAAGTATAGGAAATTTGGTAACACATGAAAGGAAATTTTTGCTTAAAAGTAAAAAAAAAAAAATTTAAAAATGTGAGAAGACTGAATTTAGGGTGAGAATTTCCTTCTAGGAGCACACAGCTGATGACAAGCAAGGCTGTGCCCTTACGTCTATGTGTGAGAATATGGGAGTCTTGTGTGATTCAGAACCATCCATACTAACAAGTAATACTGCAATGTCAAAATAAACAGGTTAAATATGGGTGCTAAAATTAAGTCAGAAATAATAGGGTAGAGGAGACATCATCAGATATTGTTACTTTGTACTAATTCCCTCAACTGTACAGGAAAGGGAAGGTCAGATAATGGCACTGACTTCCAGTGTTGTTGCTACAAAAACTAGTTTTTATGCTGTGCTTTTCATCAGGGAAAAATACAACCCCTGTTTCCATAAGCTAAAAGCAGTAGACTCATAGCCAAGCTCTGTGTAGCTCATGGTTTGTTAGCTCTGAAGTACTTGATAACTAAGTTCCTTCATTGGAAAGTTTTCTTGAAGTGTAGCCAGCCAATGCATGCTTCATGAGAATAATACATTTTTTTTTAATCTATAAAAGGATTTGCTTCAAAACATACCTGGAAGTATACTTACAGCCAACTTGTATGAAGACTTCATTGGAGTTCTGGAGGAAGGGAATGAGGAGGCCAAGATAGCCATAATTAAGAGGTAAAAATATGATATTTCCCTCATCATTATGCCACGAAAGCACAACCAAGATTCTCCTTAAATTATATTAGCCTGAAATGTCTTTCCAGCCACTCAGATCACCACCAGCGTCAATGTGTTCGTTAGTCACACTTGTGGAGAACAGTTAACAAGAAATGAAATCCTTGCCACTGTCATTCAGTTCTCGTTCTCCTTTCTCTCCTACCATTGTCCTTGTACGCCTTTGTACACCTCCTGAATGTAGGACCTTGAGACAGAAGTGAATCCATTGCTTCCTGCTAGATGCTAGAAGATAAATCAACTCACAATCTTTGTGTAACATCTGCAGAGAGTCAGTGAACCAGAGGATTCTGCAGGTGGACAGGAATTAAAGTCAATGAAGCATTTTCCTAGGCATTCGTATCAAGCTCTAGTCACTTAGGAGATGAGTAACCTTTGATCTGTTGCCATGCTGCTTTGTTCTTGTGCTAGTGACTTGCAAATAAAAGAATTTACTTTATTCAATTTCTGTTTTCACTTAGTAAGGGTTATAGTTTGTCACAGTCTGAAATGCTAGGGTGCTTCAAGTATGTTTCTGTTAATTTTGATTTGAAAACTATTTGTTCAGCTGTAGATTTTTCAAAGAAAACCACACAAACTATTTTTTTAGAAGATTTATGTATGTATTGGAAAGTTAGATATACAGAGAGGAGGAGAGACAGAGAGGAAGATCTTCCATCTGATGATTCACTCCCCAAGTGAGCGCAACGGGCCGATGCTATGCCGATCCGAAGCCAGGAGCCAGGAACTTCTTCGGGTCTCCCACACGGGTGCAGGGTCCCAAAGCTTTGGGCCATCCTCAACTGCTTTCCCAGGCCACAAGCAGGGAGCTGGATGGGAAGTGGAGCTGCTGGGATTAGAACCGGTGCCCATATGGGATCCTGGTGCCTTCAAGGCGAGGACTTTAGCCGCTAGGCCACGCCGCAGGGCCCCACACAAAATATTTTGAAGATATATTGGTAACTCTGGTATTTTCACTAAATTTTATCAACTGTGTAGAAATTAGAATGTTCCTATGTATGAGTAAAATTTACTGAGCTAATAATTCATATTTTAAGTGTGCCTTTTTTCTGTGTTCAGACTTTTCCAACAACTGCCAAAACCAAATGTTTGTCTCCTGCAATCCATCTTTTGCTGTATACACAAGATTTCACAAACTTCACCTTCAAAGGAGATGACAAGTTCTAACTTGGTGTGGTGTATTACCCCAAGTCTTTTATGGCCATCAGTGGCCAGCATCTCAGATAAAGGAACAGAATGGAAGAGAAAGGTGGTGTGGTGTCTCTTTTTATTCACTGTAGCATACTAAAATTTAATCCTGAAATTTAGCATGTTAGTTCTGAGAAAATTTTTGTCAAATATGCATTATGTTTTTCTCTGAGGATGCAGTTATACATCCTTTGGCAAAATTATGAATGAGAAGAGATTTCAAGGTAGGACATTGGGAGGAATGATTCATTCAGTTCCCATCACAAACTCTAACACCATATCTAACACCATAGAGAGGAAAGAGTGACGTGTCTCATAGGTGTAATGAATTTGGACCTTGGACACAACGAAATTTCAGCTTGAGTCTCACAGGGCATTTAACAAGGTTTTCTAATAGAAGTGATTTCAATAATTATAATACCAGAGGAGCTAGCTGAAGGACGGAGCAAAGCTGTCCTGGACAATATGGATACATGCTGTGATCTTCCTGGGCTAATTGTAGTTCAGAGAGATAACAGGGCGTACTTCATCCCAGCAATTGGCATGTGAGATTCGGGAGCAACAGAATGCCAGATAAGACCCCACTCTTTCCCCAAGCAAATCCCCAAATCAAGGCTGACGTGATACATGGAAACACACAGGTTTTTAGACATTTCTGTCTCCAGTGTCCTACTTTCATGTCAAGAGATGTAGATATTCTTTGTACCCCCAAGTTGGCAACACTTTACACACAAAGCTTATTTCCCTAAGGTCTCTATTGAGTTCTTTACAAATTTTAAAATAAGAATGCACGTCTTCTCCCCAAATATCCTACAGCTATTCATCGACAATAAGAATATCTTTAAACATACTACTATTTAAATGAAAATGTTAACAACCAAATTAAGGAACAAATGATAATGCATTTGACTAAAATTGTTTAAAAACATATCCAGATACCCAGATACTGACGTTATTTCTTATGAAAATTTTAATCTTGTACTTTGTGACAACTGAATTTTCCCTAGTAAATCTTACATTTCTGTTGGATTCAAGTTTCAGATCTGCAGTGTGATTCATAAGGATGTTCAATGCTAAAATCCATCACCCCCTTTGCCCTTTCTGTTATAGGTTGCTCTTGTACAATTTGTGCTTGATCACTGCTTCAGGATTTTTGGAAACCACCTAACTGCAACCAATCAAGAGAATGCAAAACGTGGGGACAACTACCGTGGAGTTTCTGGTACCATGACTCATTTAGCTGAATTTGATGATGAACAGATGGAAATACGGTTAACATAGAAGATCTTTAATCATGCCCTTGAAGTCCAGGGCTTGTCGCAAAGACAGAAATCCTGGGCCCTGGAGGGCATATGTTTCACTTTCCTGGCAATAGGTTTCAAACTTACGTCATTGAGATAATAGAAATGTAAAGAGATACCCTTGATTCCAGAAGCATTAAGGAAGGATTATTGTATAATACAAGAAGTGGGACCTTTCCCACCTAAGTTTAAGGAATGATTGCTTTTGGACTTATTTCAAAAAGTGCCTATATGAATTGTGTTTAAAACATTCATTTACATTTTTAATCATTTGAGTAAGTGAGGGGACTGGTATCGTGGTACAGTGCGTCTAAGCTGCTGCTGTGACACCAACGTCTCAGTTCCAGCTTCAGTTCCTAGCTAATCAGGTTGCAGTCCAGCTTTCTGCTAATATATCGGCAGAAGATTATGTAGATACTTTAGCCCCTGTCTCTCATGTAGGAAGTCAAGATAGAGTTCCTGGTTCTGGATTTGCATTGGTCCCACCCTAAATATTGCAGCCACTAATGCAATGAACCTGTTGATGCAAAATATTTCAATCCGTCTCTCTCTGTCTCTGCCTTTTACATAAATAAGTAAATAATCATGAGAAAAGCCAGTGAGAAGCACACACTGGGCTGCTGATCTCATCTGCTTGTTTATCCCAAATGGACTGTCATTTGTGAAGCTGAACTAGACAAATGGCAGGGAAGAACGTGTTTGAATTATCCTGTCTACACAGCAGTAACCCAGCTCCTAAAAGCACCACTGATTTCCAGTTTATTATCATAGAAAAAAATGATTTAGGCAATCTGAAATAGGTTTAGCATCAATATATGTGACTACAAAATTCATCTTGACATTAAAACATAATACCTTTTTTATCTTTTGAAAAGCGATCTGACCCATTAGCTCACTAAATACAGTTAGCAAGAGGATACTCTGTACCTCAGCATACTAAATCCCTCCTAAGCAATGCAAAAGGCTGTGGCTGGCACTATCTAGGAATGACTCTCACAGTAAGAATTGAATCCACGTCTCTCCAAGCTCTAGAAGACAACATTCACAACACATGAATGCTTCAAACAAATCTGTAGGCCTTTCTCCACAACCACTGACTCCTGGTCTTTTCTTCCTTTCCAGAAACATGCAATAATCTAAAAACTGTGCAAATGAAGTTTAGTGAACAGACTTCCACATCCAACAATTCTCCCTCAGGTTCTCACCTGAGGCCAGCTCAAAAACAGCACTCTCTTAAAAAGTGGCTATTCCCGCGTGTCTTAAGCAGAAACCACAAGTTGACACCAGCAACTGCTCTGCACACATACCCGCAGACACCGCTATTTGGATCACTTTTGCAAGATGTATGTGAGAATGACAAGCTGCCACAGCCACTTTTGGTAAGCTCAGTTTGGTCTTCTATAGCTCAGTATTCGGAGAGCACCTGTTGAGGTGAAGTTTCCTCATCTTTGTATGTCTACAAACAGGAATAAGAGCCACTGGCTTGGGTTATAAGCTTTGTCCATATTAGTTAGTGGATTTTATTTTGTTGGGCAAGGCATTACCCTGTCAAGACATGAACACAATAAGAAATAGATTGTGTCTATGTTACTGATGTCAGCAAATACCTCATACATATTCAGAAAAACCAGAATACCCCTTGGTTGGTTCTCTGTAAGGCCGCCTTGCCATTACTTTCTCCTGTTGACTTCTTGACAAGTTGAGCTCTCTGTTCAACTTTCATGTTTTCAATCCCTGTTAATGTTGGACACTCAGTCTTACAACTCAGAATATATGAATTTTATTTATCTCTCAAGTGCTATGATGTTAAAATTCACCCTCTGAAGTGTAGGCATATTACATCCTAGCAATACTGTATTCCAGTCTGTCCAATGAAACTTAGATATTTTGGTCTGTGTCAGTGATAATTTATTATTAATTTTCCAGTGGTAACATTTGCTGAGTGTCCATTGTCCCTGGAAGCTCATCTCTCAATGTAGAGAATCCAAGTGCGAATATCAAGAAACTCATCAGTTTAGATACATGGCACATCTGTGCTAACTATGGCTCTTTCACAGGCAATATGTATCTATCATCACTCACACCTCAGTAAATGAATGCCAAAAAGCCTTAGTAATTATTGTGTCTTCAGCCACCAAATAAATAACCTGATCTATGGGCATTTTCTCAGGTTATCTTATTCTGAAGCTTATTCACATTTTTTTTTTTTACATTGGAAATGAAGAAAGTAGTAGAAAATTGAAAACTGGCAAGCAGGAAATGCAATCAAAGAAGGCTTGAAGAAGGTGACAGCTATTAAGAGTAGTTTAAAAAGAGAACAACTGGAGGATAGGGGTGAGATGTAGCCCTTCCATGGGGAACAAGAATGGGAAATTCACTTAGCAAAGGTGACGTATGGAGGCAGTGATCAGTGTTTGCTATGAAAGTACACAGAGGATGTGTCGAGGCAGAGAATTTGGATTTTAAACTTGCAGTGTCATGGGAGAGCAATGTTGTGGAAACAAGTGTTTAAGCTGTTTTATTTTGTGGAAGTGAAGTGTGTAAAGGATGCCTGGTGTTCCAAAATGTATTCAGAAATGTTAAAATGAAAATTTCAAGGTTTTAGATTGTGTTTCAGACCCAAAGCCTCACATATTTTAACTATCTGTCACAACAGTTGTACTCGGTGATTGTGGACAAGGGATACCATGTAACATTATTGCTTTTATTTTACCCATAGAATATGCTTTCCATAATTGATCAGAAGGGTCCTGTTACAAACGCAATCTTCAGCAAATGTGCCAGCTGGGAGGACTGTCTAGCCCTAAAGGAAAAATTAAACTCTGGAGAGCATGTCGATTGGGAAACCACATGCCCTGTTTTGGTGGCAACCGTCTTGAAGGTAGGAAAATTACTAGTACCGTGTATTGGCATATCGCTTCCACCAAGGTTGTCTCAAGCCGTTAAAGACCAAATGGATTCAGATTCTGAGGAACAAGAAAGAGGACACAAACTGCACATTGAATGCAGCCACTCCAGAGGCTGTTCAGTAGCAGAGGATTGCATCTGCTTTCTTAGAATTCAGATACTTCACTCTCCTTCTTCCACCTCAGTGCACTGTATGAAAAATGCCAGCATTAATAATATTCGCCAGTATGTTTTTGACATACAGATAAACTTAATTAAGCTCGCTGACACAAACCTTCATGCAGCATTTGATCAATATTGCTAGAGAAGTATACTGCTGCAAGCACACACATGCTCCAGGTGAGCCAGTAAATGCCAACAGTGGCCGTCACACGTTCCATCTGGCTCATCCTCATGCCTTCACATTCAGAATGTGTGAGTCCTTCTTTACTTGAGAATGCGCCCACACTGCCACTTTCCACCATGAGTGTATAGTAATCGCTTCCATCATCTGCCTTGACTTGCGCATCAAACTACAAAAGAAGGTGTGATCGACAATTATTTTGAGTCTAAATATTCAGTGATTTTAATGTAAAAATAAATACATTTGGAAATAAAACAGCTAAGTCACATGTTTTCAGATAGTATTGACTCACAAGAATGTGTGGCAGAAAATTGGAAGAATTGAATTTATCTATTTTGAAAATGAAGGATAACTGTGAACCAATAGATGTTTCTGAAGATCTCATTAGCTTGAGGCACATGGACTTCCTATCCTCCAATTCCATGGGTAAATAGCACCAGTTCCGAAAGATTTGTAATTGACCATACTGAATGCTCCTCAGTAATAGAATGCTGTCCTCAGAAATGTATGCTCTTGACGTCTGCTTTCTCCAGCCACTGAAGAGTCCTCTGGAGGCTTTGCATTCTGGGCCTTGATAATATCCTGTCCAATAGCTAGGGAATTGTTCTAGTCATGAAGAGAGCCAGTCCCTCAAATATAAATATCACATGTTTCTCAAATAGGTTATAGTTAATGTAGAATACAGGAAACATATATAGGAATGAAATGGGTGCTTTGTGATTTGATTTTGATTGTTTTTTAGCACTTGTTTATATTCCTGTGGAACTATATACTCTGTTTCCTTGGTTGAACATTATGATTAGTGGTGAGGCAAGGCAGAAAAAGGGACCCTCTTTAAAGTAATATTGCTTAAAATTCAGAATGAAATTCTGCTAAATGTATTTTACCAGCAATAATGCTATTTTGATAATGAATATCATTTAATATATTTCAATTTAACAATACTTCAATCGGAATCAAAACATATCACTGCATTGAAATGACTTGGTACCCTGAAGAAAATCTGTATACCAGGATCACAGTTTGTTTAAGTTGAATTGTCAATTAGAATAGCAAATATAGCTTTGGTGTGTATGTTCTATATACACTATGGTACCTCATCAGTGGTTCAGTGTCACGGGGTTCAGGAAAACAGTAAGAAGACAGGATGCAACCACACGTGAGTTTGGTCCACATTAGCCAAATGTTCCCCCAGACTGCCAGAATCTGAGAGCCGTCAGAGCTTTAAGACTCCATGTCTCAAATGTCACCTGTTAGAGAATGTAATTATGTCCATTCTCTTCCCTGCTCCATCCTTATACTCCTAAATGTATTTGCTAGTATATCTTAAATATTAAAGGAATAAAAACATTTTATTATAAATTAGAGGCATTGAAGTATTTGGGGACAATTTCTATGCCTGATTCCCACCTACCATAATTCTTATTTAACTGGCATGACTAGAATAAGTTATGGAATTATTCTGGTAAAGAACTCCATTGATTTTAGAGTTAATTTTGGTTTGAAAATTATTGATACCTTATGCTTTAAAAAAATCTGGATGGCTATATTAAAGTTTACCATGCATTTGCAAGTCAAAATTGGTAATATTTATGAGTTACAGGTTAATTAAAAAATAGCATGGGCATACTCTCACTGGGTTATAATCATGGTAGTTGTCTGGATGTATTTCTTCAACATGTTAATGTTAGGAAGATTCATTCCTGGGCTCTGTGGTTGAGACTGTGCAAACCGTATTAACAGGGATATGCAAAAACTTTTCTTCATGCTGTCACAGAGACAGGAAAAAACTTTGTGAACATTCATGGGCTCTAGTTCATGGTTCTAACATTGTTCATGAACCATAAATGAGCAATTAATTAAGACACAAGTCAAAATTCTTACTGATAGCACTGACAGTCTAGGACCTGAAATGGTGATATATCTCAATTGTGACAAGTGTGTTTTTCTGTGGGAATTGTACTGGCTCCAAAATGGTTGCATAGAAGAACTTGTTCCTAAGTATTGGAAAGTTGATAATATACAGAAGATACTTTTGCATGAAATGAAAAGAGGTGATTTTCTATAAAGACAGTAAGATTGAGACTTAAGAGTTTTTGTCTTGGAACAGACAGCTCAAGGCCAAAGGCTACGCCTTCATTTTTGTATTTAAGAACATGCATGAGTTCTAAGCGTTAAATCAGCCTGGCTGGAAATAACTAGGCACAGTGTGTGTGCTTCCTCTGATGTCAAGAAAGTAACGGCAGTAAGGAGGATGCATCGTTCCATCTTGCCGCTTTGTACTAGTTTCTTCAGTTGCACAGAAAACAAGGAGTGTCAGATGATGTGAGGAGACTTTCAGTGTCAGTGCTACACACACACACACACACACACACACACACACACACACACACACACACACACACAAACTGCTTTCATGCTGCAGATTTTCATCAGAGAAAATCCAATCCCATGCTTCTGGATGGTAAAGTCAGTGGAAAGCTAACTGAGGTCTGTGTAGGTCACATATGGGCAGTTCTGAAATAGCTGGGTACGAAACTGCTGCACTGTTTTCTTAGGAGACTGAGCGATGAATGCTCTTACCATGGGAATAATACTTATGTGTGTATATGTGTTGTGTGTATTTTATCTGTACAAGGACTTACTTCAAAACATTCCTGGAAGTGTACTCACAGCCAACCTATATGAGAAATTCATTGACGTTCTGGATGAAGGGAATGAGGAGGCCAAGATAGCCATGATTCTGAGGTAAAAATGTGATCATTATTCTCTTCAGCATGTTGAGAAAATACAACCACCATTGTCTTAGAAAAAGAGCATGCTGGGTGTGATTTTATTGCTTAATCCATTTAAATCACACGAATGTGTTTATTTTGCCAGGCATAGAGGCCAGTTTAGAGAGGTAATCCTTGTTACTGTCACTCAGGTCTTGTTTCTTTGTACACATCCTAACAGAGGACATTGGAAGAGGGTAAATCCTTTGTTTCAAGCTAGATTCTAGAAGATAAATGAGCTCTGAATGTTTGTGTGACATTGCTAGTGATGTAGTGAATCCAGTGAAACATTGGCTCAGCAGTCATGCCAGGCTGGTGTCATTTGCATATTGGATAACCTTTCATCTCTTGCCATGAGCATCATTCTTGTGCTAGTGACTTATAAATGAGAGAATCTCTTTATAGTCTATTTCTGTTTTCATTTAGTAGGGTTTCCAGATGGTCACAGTCTAAAATGCAAGGGTATTTCAAGTTTTCCTCTGTTAATTTACATATGAATAACATGTGCTCATTTAACACAAAATTTAGCGGATTGAGAGAAACAATTTTGAAGACATTTTGATACATCTTGCAATGTTTTCATTGTTTTTATCAGTGGTTTATAGAATGTTCCCATTAATCTGTGAGTAAAATGTACTGAGCTAACATTTTCTGTGAACAGGCTTTTGCAACAGCTGCCTAAGCCAAACGTCCATCTCCTGCAATCTCTCTTTCGCTGTTTGTGCAAGATTTCACAGAATTCACCCTCGAAGGAAATGACAAGTTCTAACTTGGCTTGGTGCATTACCCCGAGTCTTCTACAGCCACCAATTGCCAGCATCTTAGATAAAGGAACAGAATGGAAGAAAAAAGTAATGATGTGTTACATTTTTTTTTCTATAGGGGGTTGTTTTTCCACCTTGATCATGACGTTAAGTTAGGGGTGAATGAGGCCCCAGGTTGGACATTGGAAGCAACGATTCACCTCATTCCCACCAAAACTCCAAATATCAGATAGAGAGAGGAAGATGATATGATATAATGAATTTGGACTTAAGATTGGACAAAGCAGGATTCCAGGCTGGGTCTCTTGTGACAATATTCTTTCCAAGGCAAAGTTGTTTCATGCAAGTGATTTCAGCAGTTACAATACCAGGGCATCTGGGTTGTCCTGAGGAATATGGACACATGATTGGGCCTTTTTCTTCTGATAATGAATCAGAGAGATGCCAGGTTCATCTCTGCAACTGGAATGTAAAGCTAATCAAAGATCTCACAGCTACCTAATGGTGCACAGCATGCCATACAGAGCCTCGGCCCTTTCCCAAGGCCGTAAAAACAGACATACATACATTATGACCACTCTGAATTTTTGTCTCTGAATTTCACTTTCTCATTAGATCCAAGTTTCACATGTGCAGTGGGATTTATAATGATGCTAGATGTAAAAGTACATCATCTTCCTTTTACCCTTTGTTTTATAGGTTGCTTTTGTACAATTTTTGCTTGATCACTGCTTCAAGATTTTTGGAGATGACTTCACCCCCACCATCAGAGATAACGTAACACATATGGACCACAATCTAGAAGCTTCAGGTACCAGGCTTGATTTCTTTTAAAAAACTATTTTTGATTTTTATTTGAAAAACAGTTATAGAGACAAGAATAAAAAGCTCTTCCATCCACTAGTACACTCCCCAAATGGCTGTAATGGCTGGAAGCGGGCTGGTCCAGAGCCAGGAGCCAGGATCTTATTCCATGTCTCCTAGATGGGTGCAGGGGCCCAAGGAGTTGAGTTGCCCCTCACCAATTTTGCAGGACATAAACAGGGAACTGGATCAGAAGTAGAGCATCCGGGACATAGTACGGATAGTAAGCCAGCAGAAAGTGAGGCAGGTGTTTCAGCATCTTCCAGACCTGATGGAGATCAAATCAAGGTGGATTTCCCTGTGCCTTGCTTTATTTGGCTAAATCTCATTGTAGTAGCCATTGGTAAATTGATTCAATAGCTGGGAGGGCCTGTAGTCCTTATTTTCTGCCTCTCTCCTCTGTCTCACTTTGCACTTCCAATACATAAGTAAGTAATCATGAAAGAAGTACAATAGTAGACAGGCACTTGGATGGAGATCTAGGCTACTGGGTCACACCTAAAATGACTGCAGTTTATGACATTGGGCTAGATGAAATCGAGGAAGTGGCTTAATCCAGGCCCTCTGCCAACATGGCAGCTCTCCAGGTCTTTGAGTCGTAACTGGTATTTCAATTCATTTTGATGGAAGATTTGAAGGAGATGGAATATGAATGCATGTGATTAGGAAACTTACCCATGAACCTACTGATTGCAGTTATAATAAGGATGGCTGCACATTGGCATACTAAGCACCTGTTAATGCAGTGCAACAAACCGTGGCTGTTCAACTCCTGGTTTCAATACCAATTCCTGAAAGGCAGGGAGAAGAGCACATTCACTCCACCCAGGACTTTGAACTGATTTTAGTCTGTAGAGCTTTCTTCACATTGACTGATTCATTGATATTTTTTCCTGTCCATTTCCAGAAGCATGCAGTCATCCAGAAAACGTGGGAATGGGATTCCATGAGTTGAACACTACATCTAACCATCTCACTTCTTCCTCACATTCTCATCTGAAGCCTGCTCGAAAGAAACATTCCATTAAAAAGTGGTTAGCTCAGCGTGTCTTTGGCAACAAGCACAACAAGGTGGCACCAACACCTACTTTGCCCACTTCTAAACAAGCACCGCTGTTTGGGTCACCCCTGCGTGATATATGTCCCAACGGCCAGCTGCCAAAGTCAATTTTAGTAAGTTTCAGTGTACTCTTCTATACCCTGGCATTTCTGAGCTACAGATTTATCCATGTTTGTCTCAAAAATGAAAAAGTCACTGGATGACCTCCTTCTGTGGCTAAAAAACTTTCTTCACTCTTTTCAATGCAAAATAATCTGATTTATCTATTGCCCTGTGGTAAGGGAAAATGCATAGAAATACAGAACCACAGAAACTGTGTTGCTGATTTCAGGAAAGACTCCCATACCCCCTCACACACTAATTGGATCTGAATGTCTGAGTATCAATGAGCCCACTTCATCTCGCTTTCCCCTCTTGGCTTGTGCAGAACTCTGCGAATCTCACATTTTCTTTCATGTTCTCTGCTGGACTACTTTGTCTCACAACTCAACACCCCTCAGTCTGATCTCACTTTTCTCTCAAGTGTTTCAACATAAAAATTCATCTGATGGAATATCTATCCTTCCATTCTAACAGAACCTGTCAAGGGAAAGCTACATATGTGGGTATTTAATACTGAAAAGTAGAATACTAGAATTCAGTTGTAGCATCTATGGAGTTCCCATGGTTTCTCCATTTTTACCACTTGACATGCAGAAATTTAGTCTCCATGTGTAAAAATTCCTCATGTTAGGTACTTTGTAAATATCATCATAGTCCTTGCCTCTGTCACAGTGAGAAGGTAATATAATAAGAAAAGGCTTTGGAGAAGGAGTCAGGCTTCAGATTTGTTACAAGAAAGAATTGACACTATAGAGGTGCAGGAATAAGGTATATAGTCTTCTTGTGGGGTACAAGGAGGAAATTGTTTTAGCAAAAAAAATGTCTACACTTGGAGACCATCAGGGATATTCAGAATGAATGAGCAAAGGTGGTAACTGATGAGAGGTGACGCCATGGAGGACTCAGAGCAGAGAAGTTGGGTTTAAAAGTATAAATTCCCTGGAAGGGAACATGTTATAAAATCGAGCATCAGAGATATTTTATTGTGTGGATATGGAATGTAAATAGGTATGAGTAAAGGATACAAGATGTACTCAGAGATGCCAAAATGAACATTTCAAGCTTGTTTTCCTTTTATTCCTTCCAGATCTGTAACCCTGCGTAGTCTAGCTCCCTTGTTGTAATAGGGATGTGCTTGCCCTATGTTCCTGATAATATGAGATGCTACAAATTTATTTCATTTATTTTACATACAGGATATGTTTTCCTGTATTGATTCAAAGGGCCAATATACAGAGGGCATATTCAAAACACGTGTCAATGGCCAAGCCTATAGAGCCCTGAAAGAAAAACTGAATTCTAGAGAACGCGTGGACTGGACAAGTGAGTCCCCCTATGTGGTGGCAACTGTTTTAAAGGTAAGAAATATTCCATTGTCATCTGGGTACAGTTTTGAAGTCAGTATGATGTGTCTCCTTCAATTGTGATTGCTCAAGAACTGCAGGGGGCCAAAATATTGATTCTGTAAAACATGTTACAAACTACAGATAGCCACTCACTTGGAAATTATCAAGTTAAAGCACAAATATGCAGGTATATTTCTGTGAGAGGAAATGGTAGAAATGAGAAAGAACTGAATTAATCCATCTTGGTACTTGACAGTAGTGTACAAATAGAGGGTGCCACCGTCGCAACCAAAAACAGGTTTTGAAGATGGCATTAGGATGAGAAACTGAATTTCTTGTCCCCATGGGTTTTTTTTTTTTCTGTCTGCTGGTTCACTTCCCAAGTGGTCTTTTTTTTATTATTGCATTTCATTTTATGACATCGTTTCATAGGCTCTGAGGTTCCCCCAACCCCTCCCTTTGCCCTCCCCCCGCCCCGCCCATAGTGGATTACTCCACCTTATTGCAGTGTCACAGTTCAAATCCAGTCTTGTTTCTTTCATTGCAACCATGTACCATGCATAGAGTCCAGCATCTTATTGTCCAGATGAATTCAACAGTTTCTTGGGGAGACTATCTCTGGTCTAAAGGCAGAGTTGGCAGAATCTCGTTCCGACCAATTAAAAGCCGTAACATAACATCAACAACAGTTTACCACATTATGGGGTTAATTGACATGGTATTGAGTGACTGATATGTTAGAAAATGCAGGTTCTTAACCACATCCTGTGACTACTTCATTAACATTTCCATTTTAGTTTATATACAACCGGCTTCTATCCACCTTAAAATGGCTATAGGATACTATTCAGCTGTCTTGTGTCTATTTTCATTTTAGTATTTAGCAGTTTATTGTATTGAAGCATAATTTTTACTGAACTTGGCAGATTTTAGGCTAGTCCAAACTGGCTTATAGCTTTAACAGGGCATATGTCACCAGTTGAGGCACAGAACAATTTTAGGAGGGGTATGCAGTACTCTAGTTAGTAGTAACTTATTTTCGTGTCCTACCTAGTAAGGTATGTGTGAGTCCCTGCTAACCATTTCCTGAATGGTTCTAAGCTTTCCTTGTTGGTCTCTGTCTATTCTAATTTTTTGTTTGTTTGTTTTGTTTTGCTTTTTTTTTTTGGCACGTGGGGGGGGGTGCGCTCTGGGGCGATAGTCATTGCAGGAGATGGTGGGGATCGAAAGTTGGAACTAAGCAAGGACCAGAGAAAGCTGCTCTCCCTAGTCCCGAAGGGAATTTATTGTTCTTCTGTTTCTGCAGACTGCTCAGGGCTCCTGGCTGTTGTTCCAGTGACGTTGCTCACTGCTCTATTCTCATTACTCCTAACTGCATCTTTGACAAAGCCTAATTCAATAAATGTTAGAGTGAACTGTCACAGGTTTATAATCATAATAGTTCCTTGGATACATTTACTGCTGTAAATACTGTTATAAGAATTCTATGTTGAGACAATTACAAATAACATTAACAATGACATATGACGTCTCTTTGTGCTTATACAAAGAAAAGAAAACACCCTTGTTTTCCTTTTTCAAACTTGAGTTGAATTTCATGGTATTATCAACGTACGTCACTCATATACCTGGTATTATCAGTGTGTGTCAGTCATACACCTGGTATATCGGGGTGTGTCAGTCATGCCTGTTATTAACAGTGTATGTCAGTCATATGCCTGGTATTAACAGTGTGTGTCACTCATATACTTGGTAATAACAGTGTATGTCAGTCATACACCTGATATATCAGGTGTGTCAGTCATGCCTGTTATTAACAGTGTATGTCAGTCATATACCTGGTAGTAACAGTGTCCGTCACTCATATACCTGGTATTATCGGTGTATGTCACTCATATACCTGGTAGTAACAGTGTCCGTCACTCGTATACCTGTTATAATCAGTGTGCGTCACTCATATACCTGGTATTATCGGTGTGTGTCACTCATATACCTGTTATAATCAGTGTGCGTCACTCATACACCTGGTAGTATCAGTGTACGTCACTCATATACCTGGTATTATCGGTGTGCGTCACTCATATACCTGGTAGTAACAGTGTCTGTCACTCATACACCTGGTATAATCAGTGTACGTCACTCATACACCTGGTATAATCAGTGTGCGTCACTCATATACCTGGTATTATCGGTGTGTGTCACTCATATACCTGTTATAATCAGTGTGCATCACTCATACACCTGGTAGTAACAGTGTCTGTCACTCATACACCTGGTATAATCAGTGTGCGTCACTCATATACCTGGCATTATCGGTGTACATCAGTCATATATATAGGCTAATTTTCCTTAAACTACTCAGAAAGCTTAACAGCCACGATATACCAAAACATAATGATAAGAGTTGTGATATATCTCAATTAGTATTAAATTTTTTTCTCATGGGTATTGTATCTGTAGCAGCCAATGAGAATAACTAAATATATCATTTTTATAACACTTGGAAGAAACTTCTGCTTAGCAGTAGTACAGAATTATATATGAAGACAAGAATCATAAGGATATTATGAAAATTTTGTCAAAAGGGGCATGCACAACTCAAAAACTCATTCAGTTTTCATGTGTTATGTGAGTGTACACATGAGTGTGAATAGGCAGTTCCTTTGATTCCAAAGCTTGGCAGCTAAGACTTGAATTCCCAGAATCTGAAACAATGTTTCAGATAAGCACATAAGGGAAAACATATGTGCTTATTACTTGTCCAGAGAATAAATACAATAAGAATTATTCACGCCCAGATCTTGTCAGTTTGTATAAGTTTACTAAAATAAAAAGTGCCAGGTGATAGGAAGAGGTTTCGCGTTCATTCTCAGCGCACTCCGGATCCCAACCGTATGACAGTACCATTGATCTGATCAAATCCATCTATGCTTCTGATTTATGAATCAAGACAGCAGTAGCTAAGTTCTCAGAATTTGGCTTACTGTGAAGAAATGGTGAAATAATAGAGTGTTTCAATTAGTTTTTCTCATTAGGTTAGCCAAATAACAATATTTTTCCATCTTTGTAAGGATTTTCTTCAAAGTATACCTGGAAGCCTGTTTACAACCAGCCTGTATGAAGAATTCATTGATGCTTTGGATGAAGGGAACAACGAGGCCAGAACTGCCACCATTTGCAGGTGATGCCTAACAACTATTCTCTTGGGCAAGTCTCAACAATGCAGCCAACATTCTTTTTAAAAAGCTTCTATGTTTTCCATTTTAAGTACTGAGCTCATGACCCAGACAAAGGACTACATTGAGAGAAATACAAGGAGTTTACAATGTGGGGGAGGCCTTGCTACTGCCGTTGAGTTCATGCTGCGCCGTTAACATTATGAACATGGAGGCCTTATCTGTGTACACATCCTTAATATAGGGTACTGGCAAAAGAGGAAATCCTGATTCCATGTGCATCCAGGAGGATTAGCCAGTGTTCTTTGTGTAGCATTGTCAAAGACTGCTGAACACTAGTCTATTGGTGGCCAGAAATTGAATTCAATGACACATTTTCATACAACCGCATACCTTGAGTGGGCCTCTAAGATAACTAATCCTAACCCTAACCCTTGCAGTGTTTGCCTCAAGGCAGTGCTGTTATGCTACTAGGTAAAAACCTAAAGGAGACTATTCTATGTAATTTGGGTTATTATCAACAACCTCTCAGTTTGGCAATTCTGAAATGCAGGATGTTTTAAATATACTTGTATTATCTATTAATATTTGCTCAATTTAACACATGGTTTAATGGATTAAAGAAATATTGCAGGGGATATTTTAAAGACATAGTGGTATACTTCATTATTTTCATTGTGATTTTTCAATGATGCACAAAGCATTCTGCTCCATGCTGTATGTGAGTACAATATCCTAAGTAAAATTCTTGTTCTAAGAGTGTCTTTTTCTGTGTTTAGGCTTTTAGACCAGCTTCCCAAACTGAATTTTCATCTCTTAGAATCCTTATTCTTATGTTTACACAAGATTGCATACTCACCGTTAAGTAAGATGACATCATTCGATTTGGCACTGTGCCTGACTCCAAGCCTTCTTTGGCTACCCATTTCAGGTAGCTCAGGAAGAGGAATGGAATGGCAGAGGAAGGTAATGAGGTGTCTCATTTTTATGCCAAGGGGAGCACTGTCTCTACTTTGAATCTTAAATCTTGTGCATTAATTCTTACTAGCCAGTTTATGGTTGCACACTTGAAGTACTGCTAGAGAGGAATACAACCATCCATCATCCAACCAGTTAAGAGCAGGTGAAGACTCAGCGGGTACTGGTTAATAGCAGGTGAAGACTCAGTGGGTACTAGTTAAGGCAGGACTCAGCTGGTACTAGTTAATAGCAGTGGACTCAGTGGGTACTAGTAAAGAGCAAGTGAAGACTCAGTGGGTACTAGTAAAGAGCAAGTGAAGACTCAGTGGGTACTAGTAAAGAGCAAGTGAAGACTCAGTGGGTACTAGTTAAAAGGAGTGGACTCTGCGGGTACTAGTAAAGAGGAGTGGACTCAGCAGGTACTAGTTAAGAGCAGGTGACGACTCAGTGGCTACTAGTTCCGAGCAGGTGAAGACTCAGTGGGTACTAGTTAAGAGAAGACTCAGTGGGTACTAGTTCAGAGCAGGTGGACACAGCAGATACTAGTTAAGAGCAGTGGACTCAGTGGGTACTAGTTCAGAGCAGGTGGACACAGCAGATACTAGTTAAGAGCAGTGGACTCAGTGGGTACTAGTTCCAAGCAGGTGAAGACTCAGCAGGTACTAGTTAAGAGAAGACTCAGTGGGTACTAGTTCAGAGCAGGGGAAGACTCAGTGGGTACTAGTTAAGAGCAGGTGAAGACTCAGCGGGTACTAGTTCAGAGCAGGTGGAGTCAGCGGGTACTAGTTCAGAGCAGGGGAAGACTCAGTGGGGTGCTGAATACATGGCATCACTCGGCCTTTCTCATGCACAAGAAATTCCCTCGAGTGATACTTGGGTAGAGATATGCACCGTGATGTGATAGACATGAACAAAGGCATTGGGATTGGAAAAACAAGGTTAAGGTTAATTAAGCAAAGATTCCAGAACATGCTAATGGGATCCCAACAGGCCAATTGTGACTTCTGCTCTGCTCTGAGCAAAGCAGGGCTTAGGCAGAGCAGTACACAGGAGGGACTGCAGTCCAAGCAGACATTTCCTCTCCAGCAGCCTCCTTTCTTATGGAAAGCGTTCATTGAGGCCCTGCCTGCGTGCCAGGCTGACACCACTTTACTTAAGAAGTGAATATCCTGAGTGTGTTTCTGCTGGATCCTTCACAATTTATAATGTGGATATGCGGCTTCACTTAGGAAGATCCATTGAAAATGATCTATCAGTGTGTATTCATTGAAGTCAAAATAACTAACTTAATCCACAGATGATGTGATTGCATTGATTAGAAGTAAACACAGATTTAGCATAGTTCACAGATAAAATGTTAGAAATTAGATGCTTCAATTTATCTTTCCCTCCCTTGTCTTCTTTCCTGTATCTTGAAATTTTGTGATAACATTTTTATTACTTTGTAGTGAAAGGTTTAATGTGCCATTAGAGTTCAGCAAGTAAAAACAGAAAGGAATCACTGTTCAGCAGGAATATGGAAAAGTGCTATAAGCAAAAATTAAAAGATGTCAAGTTTACTCATACAAGCAAAAATATGTATATGTAGGTTAAGTATCAGAGATTAGAGGAAATGGAGTTTTTTGCCTTTTTAAAAATCTGGATTATTTTACTAACAGTGATTTCTGTGTATCCGTTTTGTTGCAAAAGTCAAGATTTTAGTCTTTTGAAAAGGTCTGTGCCCCAAATTTCTACATTTTCTCATCATTCCATACGGAAATTCCATACAGAAAATGAATTCACATCTTTGTGTCAATTTCAATCTTTCTTGGAATTCTAAATGTTATGCTTTTGTGGGCTACACAATTTATATGTAGATTATGATTTTAAAATGATAAATGTTTTGTTGTTGTCTTTCATGTAACAGGTTACACTTGTACAATATTTAATTGAAAACTACACAAGGATTTTTGGACACAAACTGAGTTCCCCCATGGGAGAAGACATAGAAAATCAGGACAACGTCCAGGACACCTCAGGTATCATAATGACCCATTGAACTGCCCTTGATGACGCTGCTGTGCCCTGACAGGTCTTCGGGCTATCTTGGAGCCCAGGGCATGTTCAAAGGGCACTGAGGCTGAGGCCCTTGTCCACAAGCTCACTCACAGGCCCAGGATGGTGTCATATGGATGTGAAACAAAAGAGAAGCTGAGCCATCTGGTTTCAGAAAGCAAATGCTAATTCTAACTGCTTCAAGATGCATCCTATTGTACAACACAGGACCTACGATTTTTACAACAGGTTTTGTGGAACCCTTCTTTTTAAGGGTTCCTCACAAAGTACACAGATTAATGAAATTTAAGCATGAGGTAACACATTATTTATTAAGAGACAGATTGCTCAAGAGAGAGATACTTCCCACTTACTTCCTTCACTGTTGAAAACATTGTGTGGGGTTGGGTTGTGCCAAAATCAGGAACTTAACCTAACTATTCTGCATGGGTTTCAGGAGTCCAGGTAATTGGACCAACAATACTATTTCAGCTTATTTTCATGGAAATATTTTGAATTTCAGACCTTTTTTTTTGTATACAGTTTTCATATTTGGGGGAAGACTGTTTTGAGCAACACAAGCTTTGTCAATGACAATATAATCATACTTTGGATTCTCCTTATCACACACGCCCTGAACTTCACTATACAGATAATCAATATGCCCTAAAATAGCTTCCAATATTCCTTTTTTATTCCTTCTCCACTCCCCTCTGCTGCTCCATTCAGTGACCCTTGGGGCTGCAGGCCTTCAGTGTGCATGGAAAAAGTTTTAACAGAACTAGAATCATTGAGAAAAACGGCCTTGTTTTCATGTAATAAATGCTTTTCACAATGTAAACTCCATGCCTGTCCTGAAAATATACGTGATTGATTCTTTCAGATTTGTGCCTTCTCATGGTTTTATGACATTTACCAATTGTTTAGGAGAAATTGTTAGGAAAATGTAATTAATTAGTAAGTAAGATGACTGGAAAATTGAGACCATTGATACCAAAATAATCTTTTGTTTTTCCTTCACCAGAGAAAATGGAGCAATCTGTTGACTTTGAGCGTGTGGACATCACATTAATTGACTAAAAGACCCAGATATGAAAGATGGAAAGCCCACATCTAGACTGGGCCCATTTAACTCTAAATTCTACTGAGACATTGCGTATTAACACCTACACATTTACATATGGCTTTGCACACCTATACTTCTTTTCACATTGAAACTTCTTTAAAACTATTTACCGGATTTGACTAAAAGACCCAGATATGGAAGATGGAAAGCCCATACCTACACTGGGCCCATCTAACTCTAAATTCTACTGAGACATTGCGTATTAACACCTACACATTTACATATGACTTTGCACACCTATACTTCTTTTCACATTGAAACTTCTTTAAAACTATTTACCGGATTTTCCTAAGGGTGACTAACATCTTTCCCTTTTTTCAAGACAAAATGGATTTTCTTGACAAGGATTGGTCATGAAGCACCTTAAATTCAGACCACCTTTCTGCTTCCCGTCTTACATGATCTGTTCTTCGTGGAGTGCTCAGTGAGCATCCTCCAACACAGGAGCTCAGAGTGTTGTCACTCCCGCACAAGGGAACATCAAACGGCTCCTACAAAAATGGTATAAAAAGACAAACGTGGAAAGGATAAAATGGAATTTAACAGATGAGATTTTTGGTCAAAAAATTAAATTCATGCATTTAAAAAAATAATTTGTATTTTCATAAGCTTTTTCACAAAGTCTGAAAAAATTTATGAAAATACTTCTTATTGGAAATATTTGCATAAATTTAAAATTTTTGAACCACTATCATCTCAAATTGTTAATTCCATTTTATCCTTTCTTTATTATCTTGTTATACCTTTCTTTGTGTGCTATTTGATATACCCCAGACAAATTTAAGAACATTTTTATACAAAATGTGCTTTTAATGTGTCCAATCCTACTTTGTTTTTACCAACTAAAAATCCATTTACGATCAGCTCATACATTGTTGTGTTATATCTATACATTTTTGAATATGCAAATGATACTCCCAAACCAAAATAATCTTCCTGAATAAATAACCTACCTAGTCAAATTCATGACTCTCAAATAATTTAGAACTGTTTCAAGACTCAAGATATGGCACAATTATAAACCATAAAGCGACATTACAAGTGTCTAAGCTTAAAAATCAATGGTGCCATATATACATAAATGTTCATTACTACCTGTTTTGCCTTTTTTTATTAATATCTACTTGACTTTTCCTTAAGATCTCTTTATTCATCAGTACCTTGTTGATTCAAGTGTCTATTTGATTATTCATGAACACCTATTTGACCCTAAATACCTATTTGTTCATCAGTTTCGATCTGACTGTTCAGAAATACCTGTTTGATTCTTAATATCGATTTGTTCACTATATATTTGACTTTCCAGAAATACCTATTTGACTTTTCCTATTAATATTTTTCTAAAATGCCTATTTTTCTTGTTTAAAGAGTATTTAAAGAACACATGTTGAAATAACCAAAACATTGAATTATTCTGAAAATGTAAATTTTAATGTATCTAAATGTATGCATTATAGAAATACCATCCCCAAATCTCAGAGAGTAAATACAGTAAGGCACGCAAGGCCAGACATTGGTACAAGTATTCTCAGTGTCCTGGACGTTCTTATGATGACTTTCAAAATCCTAAACCATATGTACATAGTAAATGACAATTGTAACAAATATATACAAATAAAATTTGTGACAACAAACAGTATATTCTTAAGCACACTAAATTGATTGAATGACTACCTATTGATATTTCACAAGTCTAGTATTTGATAACAAAAATACAGTATTGCATTAGCTCAAGTTTCTAATTGTCCTTTGATCATCTGTATTTATTCCATTGTATGTGTCTTTTCTTGATGAAATAAAATCCCCAACAACTTACTGGTTCTGCTAATCCCTTTACTTCTTATGGCTAGTGGGTTACTGGAGGCTTATCTGGGCAGTCCTTTCTTACCTGGGCCATTCAAGGGCCTTCATTGAACTGACAGCACTACAGAGACACTTAGGGCTTTCATGTCACGTGGGCTTTGTCTTGGTCTCCCTGGCATCGACAGGTGGGCACTACCTCTCCTATATGGAGGACAAAGAGTTCCCACAACAAGGGTGTGTCACACCATCCAAAGCACTGCTTGCTACACGTTTGCTAAAGATCAATTGGACAAAGTCTAGAGGTACAATGGGCAAGATCAGGCTCATATCAGTGGAGGATGGAACTTCATTAGGATCTACGACACATACCAGAATGTTCTAAGCAGTCATTATTGTCACCGAGTGATAGTACCACTGTCTGCAGGCAGCAGGACCAGCACACAGAGCTTCGTATCCATCAGCCTCAACACTGCACTTTTCTGAAGTTGAGCAGTGAGTCCACAGCTCCAGCATGGATGACGGTGTCCCAGGGGCCTCTGAGGGTGCACGGTAGCCACTGTTTTGGAAGTGTAGTACTTGATATTCTAGTATGGGATGTGGGTATCCAAGCTGAGACTGAATTGTTGTGACAAGTACCCACCCAACTCTCCATTCTATAGGCCAGCGTTTTCTAAGGATACTGCAGGAATAATCATAAACACATTGTTATTATGTGCATAACATTATTTCACAATTTCTCAGATGTTTTCATGCTTCCTTGTGGATTCCACACAGTAAACACGACTCACTTCCAATAACTCTTAAGAGGTTTACCTTTCCCCATGAAGGGTGAGACAGATGGAACCCTATACTTTCCCATGCTTAGACAGCAGCTGTGCAGGCCCATTCCCCAGGGCCAGAGAACAGGAAGAACATCTTGGAAGGTGCTAGCATTCCTTTTGTTTTTGTTTGTTTGCTTGGTTTTTTTTTTTTTTTTTTTGTGAAGGGTCTTGTTTGTTTAATGCATGTGAAAAGAAGCATATACAAAGAATTGAGACATGAGAAAGCATTGGTTCCACACTAATGAATCTGTAAGAATTAGGATTTGGGGAAGAAAGGTGGAAAAGATTATGTAAACATTTTTAAAATTTTGAGACTGAAACTGAAACTAGCTGATAAAATTGCTATTAACACTTAGGAAGTCTTCTTCAGACTCTTTCCATGATTTTTATTAAACTAGAGAGCCTCAAGTGGCTTCTCTTCCATTCTCTTAAGCAAAACAAAAATAAGGGGATTCTCCTGACTGGTCCCCTTGCTGTTAAGTGTCTCCCCACCCAGTCCCACCCTCTGCTTCTTAATGGAGCAGGTCTGCACCCTCTTAACCTGAAAGAGGATGTGTATCAGTCCCCAGGGATGTGTCTGCTAGCACCACCCCTCATGTTCCTCACACCAGGTCTTCCACTGGGTGCCAGGAACACCCTAACACACCATGAGTCGAAAATCAATGCTAAGCATGTAAGACACTGACATGGAAAGAATTTTTAAAATTATGAACTCAATCCATTCGATATATTTCAAAATGTGCAATACTTAACAGTGAAAGAAGTTAGCAATTAACTTCCAAAAAAAAAAAATCAGGAAATGGCAAACAAGTTTCTTTGAAAGTCACAGTCACATATACAGTGCATCGTAGAACAGAGGAGGGGCAAGGCAGGTTCCAGCCACTTTTATTAGTGAGGCGTTTACTGAACTCCTCCAAAGAGCACCAGCTGGGGAATGTGTCTTCTACACTAGGTCTAGAAGTGGAATGTGGAATCAATCTATCCTTCTCCCTTAAGGGCTGTCCGCTGGTTAAGAATTAAAAAAAAAACAAGACTAACCCCCCCCCCACACACACTCTGTCCCCTCAAAAAAGAGGGGGAAAAAAGTAAACAAAAACCCTAACATGTCCCACAAATCACCAGAGAGAAACTAGGGAGCAGCTCCAACAATGCCAGCTGGTCTGATACAGAGTCATCACAAAGCATGCCTTGCTTTGAAAGCAACAACAGGGCAAGCAAGAAGGAAAAGACAGAAAGCTGCCTGCCTCCTGGGAGGGAGCGTGCTGTGTGCTGTGTGCTATGCGCTGGCTCTAGACTGCTTTTGTCTGGCAATGCAGACCCCAAGGTATGTGTAGGGCTTGCGTCATGGGACTCCTGTGCAACCTCTACAAAGAGAGTCC